TTTAGGCTCACCAATGACAGCAGTTAAAATATGATACAAAAAAATCATATTGGTTTCAAAATGGCTTCTGACAACGATTTTCACCTTTTCACTACTACCTATAAAGAAATTGAGAATCTGTCTGTTTTAATCATGGCCAATGTTATTTTTTTAATTTTTAAAATGAGTTATGTAGAGAAATACGAATTTTCCTTAGGTAATGGCTGTTGCCAATCATGTTTTTAGGACTAAAAGTCCCTAATTCCAAAATTTAGTAAAATCCTTCCGCTGAATTCGAGATATATTATAGACAGACAAACAAACAAACAGACATAGCTCGTGTATTAGAATATAGGATAAAATTAATGAAAATTGCTATACACAAGATGGATTTATAAAAAATGTTCTCTATATTTTTTTTCTTGTTCCTTCTGACCAATTACAAATAAGTTGAAGGAATAAAAGTGTTGCATTGTATGTTTCCAAAAATTAATTTCGAAAAAAGCAAAGGAAAAATATTGGTCATTTTGAGCACTTTCATTATCACGATTTGCCGTAAATAGTACAGATGGCTAGTCGTCGTCCTAGCCCCTTGTTGTATAACAGGTGAGAAAGATGACACAGCTAATTACATCCACATCCGGTTTGTCGTGCTTGACCTTGACGTGGAATTAAGACAACATATCTATAGTCCTGCAGATAACAATAATGCGTATGTCTATGGTGTAAACAGTGTAATATAATAAAGCCGTCTGTTGTTATGGTTCATGTTTTTTTTATTATTCGGGGAATTTTCCATTGTTGTGGGCCTACCCTCAATATTGGATAGAGTATTCGTCTTGTAAGAACAAGATAATTATAATACAATTGGAAAAACAATTCTCGGGAAGATTTCACTAAGTATTTGAACCAAATCAGTGAAGTAAGATGATGATTTGGATAAATTTCCGTAATTTAAAAGCGTTATTGACGAACTTAAAACAGTCAGAGCCTGTACGAACCTTCGATGCGTAGCCTATGTACTTATTGTTACAGAGTTATTCATGGGTTCATTGGTTTGTGGTTAGGTGTGTCACAGAGGCCCCATTGTTGAATATAAGATTGATATCGATACAGAGGTTAAAGGTCAGTACTTATTGTTGCTGGGGATATTAATGGATTCGCATTATCATCACTAGGCCCAAGTTATTACGTCGATACAGCGTAACGAATGGTTTCGATTGTTGAGTCATGCGAATATAGTGAGTACTTATCAATACAAGGAAGGTCACAAAGCATCGATGGTATTCTCGCGCATTGTTGTCATCAAAATGAATGACCAACGACCATGGAAGCAGACAAGCGCTTTGTTGGTGTAGGCTGGTTGTGAAGAATATTTATACTTTTACTTCCGTTTTGAATATTTGTAATTCAAATCTTTTCAAAATCTAGCCTTCAGAAGTCACTGGTAACAATGGCAATGAACGTGCTTGATGAAGTTGTTGAATTGTTAGCACTTAGGCCTTCCTATAATTACGCATTAACTAAGTATGAAATTATAGTTTTAGAGAGCCCTTTATCAAAGTAAACTGTAAAATTAGTCTTTAAAGTTAAAATATTGTGGTTATGCTGTGATGTAGGTATGAGAGTATAAATTAAAAAAATCTTTGAAATACCTTTTTCTCTTCCATTAACCCTGAATAGTAAATGAAAATGTTTTTTTATTGAGGTGAACTTAGGACCTCATGTTTCTTTCTTACAGTTCATTTCTATAATATTACCTAATCTATATAAATAAAATTAGAGTTTTGTCTGTACATTGCTCAGAATCATAAACTTTTAGGTTATTTTTACGTTTTATACATTAAAGAAACTGAAACAAGTCTCAAATTTCTGTCTCTCTTCCTGTCTGTTATGGCCCAAGAGCCATTTTACGCGGCCTTCTCCTAAAAAAACGAGAGTACCTATCAAACTCCAAATCATTTTAGTGTAATCACTGGATTGGCGAGATTGTCTTTAGCCATTAAAATATGGAGTCACTACTTTGTAAATAAAATGACGTACGTTTAAAAACCCAATTTTGTGCGATTTTTTGTAAAGTTTTCCCAATGTTCTTATCACATAATATTCATTTATGAAATAACGAACAGCTGTTCGAATCAAGATTATTTCTTCTAGCTGTCAATGATATGTTTACATTGAATGTTGTTTACAAATACTGCAATAATTTCCGATCACGTTTTGAAAGCAAATCCAAACCAAGTAAGATTAAAAAGGTTTTTCCTTACATAACGGATTTAATTAATCGCAAGTGCAATAATTTTTAGGGGGATCCGTAAATGAAAATAGAGATTCTTTGTGTATAAAATTGTTCTTGAGTTTTGATAACCGGGAAAAAGACCTGGGGCCCATTTCATAATAAACTACAAGTTACAAGTTACAACTTGTAACTTGTAACTTCCATTAGATTTGCATTGGGTGATCAGCTGATTTACTAATAATATTAGTTTGTACTTTATTATGAAATGGGCCCCTGGAATCAGTGTTGTATATTGCTGGGAAACTGCCATTTTTTAATGAGCGTTTTCAGTCGAGACTCGGCACACGACCGACGCGCGTCTACATGTCCATAGTAAAAATAAAAGTAGGCATAGGCCTACCGTGTATTTATGTTTTATTCGTCATATGTATAAGTGTACAGTTCGTGTATGTGTTTCAAAAACTCCAAGAGGAACCTAATGAGGAAGCTTAAGACCTTGTATTAGGACTAATGATGGCGATTTAATTTTGCCGAAATGCATCTCCTGTAATAGGATACATTAGAATTGACAGGTAATTTAACCTTTTATTGATTGTCATACCGATCCGGAACAACAACAAACAACATAAAATGAAGCTATGTATAATAGCATATAATAGTTTGGCCAGCATATCTGAAAATATGCAAACCAACTGCTGTTTTTATATATGAAGGTTTCAACTGAATACTAAAAGATCCCCGTGCGTAGAACGGGTACACAGCTAGTAATCATCTATACTAGGTGAAACCCGTCGAAATCGAAGGTCCCTTTGAGGATTACGGTAATTCATCTAACTGCGATAAATAGAGTGAAATTATACAAATTTTGAGCATTTAGCATTATTTAATGAGTAAAAAGTGTAAAAACAATAATGCCTATTGGCACTATTGCGCTAACTACAAAGTATGGTTAGTCATTCAATGTATAAAATATTTCCCATGCCATATTATTAACTACGTTAACTGGTTTCTCTTCTTTTGGAAGCAACTTTAAATAGTATTAAAATCGTATCGATGGACCTTTTGTGGTAAACACTTCCACGATATCATCAGTGTAATGCAGATTAAATCTATATACTTTTATTTGAGGAAAAATATCTGTTTGTTGAGAAGGCACGTTCGTACTTCAAAGGGAAGTCCACCCTGTGTAAGTTATATTTTTTCCTTCGTCACGTCGGTCATCATACCGCACTTCTGTGGCAATGAATAACCCTCAGCATAGTTTTGAGAAATTGGTCGTGGGGTTACTGTTAAAGCTGTCGGAATGTTAGGTGTAGTGGAATACACTTGTAGTGAAACTGGCTTTTATTCTTGAACTTTGCCTGATTTGATTTTCAATTAAACCTATTAACATCACATTAGGTTTAACGAGTAGGTACCTAGGTTTGCTGCATAGAGGGAGGGTAATAAAGCGTGTTTTTGGTAAAATATTAATAGCTTAGTATAAAATAAATAGATTTTCCAGGTTTGATCCAAATATCAATTAAATGCCACCAGTAAGATGAAGAACTGTGTGGCCGGAGGGAATTAACGCGAACGTGACCGCTTGCATCAACCTCCCATCCAATGGAACATTTGACGGATGGATACAGAGTGTCAGTACAGTACCACCATGGTGATACATCCGACCTCGGACAGATGATAGTTAAATGTTTACATTGCAGTGGCTTACATTTTAAGCAAGAAAAGACTGGCCGAGACTGTTCAATTTTTACTCTTTGTTGCAATAAAAAAGGTTTGTTTACCTCAATTGCGGAATTCGCCATACTTTCAGGAACTTATTGGAAGCTCCCAATCTGAAAACAGTGCCGCAAGACCTAAATTCGGGAATTATTTGAATAACATTTGTCAATTAAATTCCGCCTTTGCCATGGTCAGCTGTGAAGCTCATTCAGATGAGAGTTCCACGCATATAGGATCTACAATTTCAAGATCCATGGCATGTTTTTGGGGGAAACTACTTTGCAGTGACTTTCGACAAATGCTGCAGGTTCTTCCACATTCATTGCGGACCACTATTGTAGAAAACTGTGGAAAATCATTCAAGCAGCTAGTGGTCTCATTAACAACAAACATGTGTGCTTTACAAGTTGAAGTGGACTTTATAATTTCCTCCAGAAGCTTGGTGGTGTGTCTTTACCTATTCACAATGATCTTATAGAATAATTGGAAGTGTGTCGGTAAATCAGGAAAACATATGGTGACTTTAACGATATATTGTTAACTTTTGTTTTCGTTCTTTATTCTGTTATTTCAAGTTGCAGTTTTGCTCGATTTCATGAACAAATATGAATCAAAATTTCATAACGTAAGAAAAAATAAATAACATAGGTAACATAAATTTTTTGTGTTAGACCTATATTTCTTCAACTGACAGTTTATAAGATCTTTAACAAAATGTATTTGAAAGGAGATTTGTATCCAGAATAATAAAAACAATCAATTCTATAATCCCAAATACAGTACCGTAAAGTTTAAAGTCTATGGTTTGTGCATATAGGCCTACTACATTTTGACAGCTATTTTGGAAATTATTATATTTGTTATCTTAAAATATGAAAATATAACAATGTGATTTTTACTTGATTTTCAAATAATGTTTTTAGCCTTTTGGTAAGTACAGGTGGAAAATGCATTATTTCCACAAATTTACCACAATTCTTTTTAATACACCTAGGTAGCAAATGAATTTGTGATTAAAAGCAAAATTTGCATTGATTATAATTCTTGTGATTGTTCACAGGAGGTGATGGGATACGGCTCTGAAATGAACGGGTGCGGTCAAGTAGTCAAATATGGGATGTTTATCTCTAATTTGGTTATATTTGTAAGTATATCTTGAAACAATCTACAGTATGTATTCAGAGTACTAATTGATAAACAAAGTTTGGAAGCTGTTATGGGTTTTAACACTCTTTGGTAAGTTAATTTGTGTTACCTATGGCCAGCATTACACAGTCAGACTCAGCCTTGAATGTTGACTTGGACCATTTCAGTTTGCCAGTAGACATGGAGACTGTTTGTGTATCCTCAATCCTCACATGCAACTTTAGCTGTAATAAACTGTGTACTATGTTTGATTACATTGAACTTTCTTTGCCATTTTGAGTATGGCCTTAATATACGTGGCTAGACAGGTGTTGATATGTTGTGGCATAACTAGTTAGGTATAGATTAATTACCAGTGCAGTTTTTACCTTTTAAACAACTTAAATTATATACAAATATTTTATCCTGAAAGCTCCATATTGATCAATCTTCATAAAAAAAGGACGAGTAATATTCAACATTTCTTTCTTTTGATACCATTACAAATTATTACAAAGATAAAACAGCTACACTAATTTTATAATATCTTAGAAGTTTGAATATATCTTGTGTAGGCTTGACATAAGAAAAATACTTTATTTCTTTAATTCGTTAACAATGTTATTTTACTAATTAGGGTCAGTTATGGATATTTACCATTTCATAATCAATTATTGAACACTATATTTCAAGGTCATGATAAGCGCCCAGGTTTGCTTGTGACACATTGTGGCTCCACATTCCCTGCGGTAAATTTTTCTCTTTCTTGTGTCCCCAACAAACCTACAACCTCTTGCGCCCCTGGACCCATTTATAAAATCGGCCCTGATGATAACTTGACTGACATAACAAGTTAAAACTAATATATATATGTTCTTTGTAAAATAATTTGCTATAAAAATTAGGCTACATTAATAAGTTTTTTCATTAAAACAATTTAGGTTTGTGTTTGTAATTTAAAACACTAATTAAATAGCTTACCGAATAATTAACTAAAATTGTTTAATACAATATTTGCTTACAAATCATTCTGGTTTGCAATTTGTAACACAAATTTAAACTGACCAGTATCATTGAAATAATTGAAATTTTATTGTTATACTAGTCAAATTTCTTAATATTTGAAACTACAGTATTCTGTTGTAAATTAACTACTCATTTGTATAAAAAAATCATTAGATTAGTAACAGAACAGTCAACAACAGGAGAAGGTGGATCATTCGTCTTTTGTTTGCTCACATGAACATCTATGTCAAACTCTTTTTGATTTTCCAAATTAAAGTAATTGACGTTTTCGTGACCGCAAGAGACGATGTAGATGTCTACACAGGCGCGGGAGATGTTCATGATTTTGCCCCTATCATGCATCACATTTACGTGACTGTGGGAGATGATGATGATGATGATGTCTACATGGCCGCGGGAGATGTTCATGATTTTCCTGCTATCGCGCAAGATGAAGATCATGTTTTCGTGACCGCGGGAGACGATGATGATGTCTACACGACCGCGCAAGATGTTCACAATTTCTTCGCGGCCACATGCACATGAGTCGTTCATGATTCCGCCGCGATCGGAGGAGACGAAGATCACGTCCAAGCAAAATGCTACTGTAACTATTTCTCCGCGGCCATAGAAGGCGTTAATGATTTCAACGTGATCGAAGGAGATGAAGATGATGTATCTGCGATCGCGCAAGATGTTCACCATTTCTCCGCGGCCACATGAGTCGTTCATGATTCCGTTACGATCAGAGGAGACTAAGACGACCCAGCGCTTATTAATAGACTTATTTATTAGCTAGTCTCTTAGGCCTTTTTGTTGATCAGATTGTTGGAAACAAAAGGTCAATTCATCGAGTTGAAGCAGTACCTCGTGTATTTCTAAACTCTTAAGACCCAACCGTGGAAGAATCAGAATATAGAGAGGGCCTCCCTGCTAAGAGCCGCCGGGGGCCTCATAAATCCTAAATACGGCCCTGTTCATCTGTAGTGTAGTAGTTCTAGACTTGTGTCTAAGTTGTTGCACATGTCATGTCAAGCACATTTGAAAGTACTTTTTGTTGCATTTTGGTCAATAAAATATAGACATGAAGGTTTTGATAAGTTGCTCATGATGTTTGATATAATGCTCTATGAGGCATATGAGGTGTATTTACTCACTGTTGTGGTTGCATATTTTACAAAGTTGACTGCTGTTGGTCATTGGACTACCTTAAGTACACTTCCTAACAACAAGTAAACGTTAGAAAGATTTGGGATTTGATGGACTGTGTATTGTTAAGTTTTAAAACAAAAAACGCCAATACTAAAACACATTTTTGTTGATACAGTATGCTTTCCTGTAAATTCAATATTTATATATTTCAAGCTGTAATTGTATAAAATTGTAGAAAATCCATAGCTTACTTCTGTGTTTAGGTTATGGAATATTTTAAATTAGTCAACAACCAATGACCTTTTTGGGCAGATACTGGTAGTCATACTAAAATATCCCCAAACACTGAAATAATGTTTTTCTTCCAGTTTGGAGGAGTAACGGTATTTGTTATTGGAGTATGGACGCTGATAGACAAGTCTTTTATCAACGACCTGCTCGGCACAAATCTGTTCATGGGTGCAGTCTACATCCTGATAGCTACTGGTGGTCTGGTGGCTATTGTGTCGTTCTTCGGGTGTCTGGGAGCAGCTAAGGAGGTCAAATGTATGCTGCTCACGGTAAGAAAAAATATTCAAACATATTTTGTTGCTTGTATAAATTACCTAAACCAAGCCTTTAAGGCACCAACTTCATTCTGTAACTTAAGCTGTATGTTCATCCACAGAAAACTGAATTGATAAATCTCTTAGAAAAAAAAAACTTGGAGAATTGATTGCTGGTAAAGGACAAACTCTAGGTCTAGGAACATCAACCATGTTGTGATTGTGAGAGACAACGGTGTGTGTATTGAAGACTCCACCCACTATTTGCCAAACGACAATTTGATCAATTTACTGTAGACTCCTTGGGACAGCGATCACTCTGGATAACTGGTTTTCTGGTTAAGCTGACAACCGGTATACTGGATCATACGTTGTATCGTACTTTAACATTTGGTACAAACGTTCAATTTAGAGTGTTCACCACAATTTAGAGTGTTCACTGTATGAACCCGACTAGATACATGTGCATACTACGGGAGTCACTCGAAAACCAACCCAAATACTTAAGTACATTAAAGTACTTGCACTTACTTACTTTACTTTAAAGTTTTTTAAGTTTGGACGGACTGGTCTCATATCTTTCCAACGACAAAATTTGTTTTAGTTTTGCCTACCTCCTACCGATCCAGTCCGGTTAAACCGATGCGCTGATAAACATTGTTCAACGAAAGAAATGTCACTTCTACCGAGTGTAGTCCATTTAAAGCTGTCCGGATAAGAGGGAGTCTACTGTTCATTAATTCATCATTTAACATTGAAATAACTAATTTTGTTACAAAAATTCAATAGAACTAGTCTAGACAGAAATTAGAGATTATCTTGAGTCCTCAATTATTGAACTCATAAACTATTTCTGGAAACATAAGTATGAAAACACAATCTTTTCTTGAAATAAGTTTGTTAGATTATCACTATCTACAGTATTTAAAATCCTGTTACTAATCTCAAACTATTGATTGCTGTTAACAGTACTTTATCATCGTATTGATCATCTTTGTGGTGATGCTGGTCGGAGGGATCCTGGGATACGTATTCCGAGAGAAGGTGCGATACTCCATGGAACAAGAGATGTACAGCAGCATCAAGTTCTACAACGAGAAGAAGAGTCTAAGACGGGCTTGGGACGACACTCAGGAAAACGTTAGTCAGACGATATTGTAAAAAATAGTCATGTTAATAATATTGTACCTCCAGTAGAGTATCAAATCTCTGTCCTTACAGCCACGTTTACTAGGGCAGAAGGCAGACAGGTGTCTACCTCCTTATTGTACTTCAAGTTACCTGGGCAACTTGCCTGCCTACTGGCTTTGTGTAAACTGGGCTTACAGGATTTATTTCAAAACAATGTTTAAAACTAAAAAATAATTATTCCTTTCTTTTGTAGCTACATTGCTGTGGAGTGACCAGCTTCACTGACTGGAGAGGAATCATTCCTGATAGTTGCTGCAGGGAGCTGGCAGGAAAGGTAATCACTTTTAAGAGAGGGACACAAATAGGATAAACCATTTTGAAAATTAATATCTGTAGCAACTATTATATTAGGAATCTGACGTAAAATAATACTGAATTTTCTTTGGTTTAAATTAGAGTAACCTTTAGATTCCCCTACTATTTAAATTAAGGTAGTTAGGTAGATGAAGCTTAACTTTAAATACCCATTTATTGTAATTATAATTATCTCTAGTTAAAAAAGAAAAAAATTGTATTTACTAATTAGTTTTTAGACATTAGCTACGACTTTGGATATATTTAATAGGTTTTTTTATATATTCACTACTGTTCCTCAGGTTTTGTCACACAATTTCAAGCATAGTTTGGAATCTGTGTATTTATTTCGTCAGGAAAAGTTTTGACCGGCAAGCGTGTTATATGTTTGCCAGGTATAATTTATACTTAGCACAATTTTCACGATTGAAATTTTTTCCCCAGAAACTGCCTTGCAAGTCATTTCAGTCTGATGGCAACATCTACACAGACGGTTGTTTGAGAGCCGCAGAAATCTACGTCAAAGACCATGCCTCGTTTCTGGGTGCTGCAGCCATCATCGTGTCTTGTCTAATGGTAAATAAAAAAATTGTTGGTACAGTAAAACGCCCATTAACCATATAGCTCATTAAATTGAAACCCAGGTTTACCAAAGCCATAGTGAAAAATAAACTTATCAAATGAATTGTAAAACTATTATTATATTACCAATTGAGATGGGTACGCCACAAATATGAGTAAAAGTTGAGTGTAGAATGGAGTGAGATTTTCAGTAAGTAGTCCAGGAAAATTAAACAAAAAAATTCCCGAAAAATCGTTTTAAACTGGAAAGTGTTTTAATAACATTTTGAGGGTCCCAAACAAGAGTCCTGCGAGTTTGCGACGGATTATGACGTCTGCTTAAGTTTTGAGAGTAAAAAACTATAAAAATTTTGCACTTTTAAGTGCTACAAAGTGCTACAAGTTTAGTGGTACAATCCATGGACTCCAAACCCTGGTGATGTTTTCACTACAAATGTGTGTGTGAAATGCAGTTTCTTCATCAACACGAGCAAAATGATTGAATTAGTTAAAGATAAAAACTGCCAATTTCGGAGGATGATGCAACTTCTTAAGGGTCTGAGTTGTGTAGATTTTTTTAAAACAAGTAAACTTTTTTCACAAATAATCCTTTTTTTACTTGGCTGAAAATACACATTTTCTTTTCGGCATTAGTAGGGTCTAGGAACGTTCAAGAATGACAAAACAAGAATTAAGAAAATTATTTTAATGTAAGCGTGTAGGAGTGTAAACTTAAGCAGAAATCAGACGAGGAGCTAGCTGTCTGGGTGGTGGTGAGCAGAGACAGAGACAGCTGGGTTAATTTTGCCAAGCTTTACACAAAATTTGATCCAAAAAGGAAACAAAATTTCTAAATAATATAAGATATCATTACAGTGACACAATATTTTAAGTTTATTTTCCAATTTCATTATCATCCTTGGCGATTTATGGTTAGAGCCAATTACTAATACTACTCCTACTTGGCTTTCAGATTGTTTGTCAAATCCCCCCAGACGTTTTTTATGTACCCAAAAAGAGGACATGTCCGGGGAAATGAGGACGTCTGGGATCCCTAATTTAGGGGGGGGGAGAGGGCTGCAAGACGCGAAGCACATCGCATCCCAAGAAACAAGAGGTGATACTGATCTGGATCTTTTGGTTGAAACCACGAATACTGGTTGAAACAATTATCTTATTGAGACATGTGAACCAACTTCGGAGGTTAGGATTCAAAGATCATGGCCATGTATCTAAGTGGTTTTAATTTATGTCTTTGTAAATATTTATACGTATTTAATGTTTTTACAAATTATACCAAATCGACAATATCTCAAGTAAGAGATAGCAAACAAGAAGTTTAGCTAGCCTATGAGACAAAGGACGGACGATAACGTTTCAACGTAGAAACCTAGGTCTCCACTATAAAAATAAATTGGATCGTAAAGTGAGCCTTAGATTTAATTATGTTCAATAACGATCCAGAGGCTATATCTCCAAATGAAAACAAGTTTAATGATTCATTAAAATCCATATTTCACTGTAAAATTATGCTTAAGTCGGCAGGACCACCGGCCATCCTGGGTTTTCTGCACATAACGGCAATGTTAATGGTTGAAGCATATTACAACATTGTTTATTATGATAAAAAGTTGCAAAATATTTCATTTGCTTCAACGTGAACGCATGTTTTTGCTGATCAGCGCGGCGCTCGGACAACCATTGGTTAGCCTGGCATCTGACGCTCAACAACAATGCAAAACTATTGACTCCTGCCAACTCTTAATACTGTTCGATGAAATGGTGACCATACATAGTAGGTATTTTAAGCCAAGTATGAATGGAGATGAGTGTAGGATGAGTGGCGCGATCTTGTAGTCTTGTTAGTGACTAAGGCCGACATTCCTTAGACACAGCTGTTAATTAATAGCCCATACAGCTAATGGCAACTAAGGGACCTACAGTTTATAGTGGAATCCGAACCACATTTTTTCCTTGGTATGAATGAATTGGTCTAATTATCAGGATAGTACTGCGGATAGTCGTAGTACTCACTCGTGCGGACGTTAATCCACATCAGGGAGTATCACATCCACAGTGCATGCCTATAAATATCCACAATTCGTGACCTCCTAGCTGGATTACAGGACGACGCCACCCATCCCAGTCTGTTATTATACTACGATCAAGTTACGTAACGCAAGGGGGGGTGGAAGGGGAGTTTGCTCCAGCGTTATGGTGTGTTACATGAGGGGGGGGGGTTAAAATGACGAAAAAGTTTGTTACCTAATATGTGTATGGCCCCTTACTAACCATAAACTAACCTAACTATATAAATTCAGCAAAAAAACTTATTTATGTACTTTAATCATCAATATTAATTACTTTGTTTGAAAAAAAAATTGATTTTTATCTTTAGATAAAAGTTTTTACATGTAATAGGTTGCTCTTAACTGCATACAGCCTATTCACTTTTGCTTATTATTAACATTAAAATAAATGAAACTTATATTTTGTTTTGCGCAGTTGTCATCCAAAGAGAAGAAAAGTAGAAAAAAAAAGTTCAAACTTTATTTGCTCACTTCTTATCCTCAATCAGAATGACTACTCAAGTACACACATTTCATTTGCATTATTTAGCCATTATTGGAATTTTAGTATGTTAGGAAATAAACTAGAGACAAGGGTCAAAATGCAGTTGTAGCCTTACTTTAATGTTAAGTATCATTTTTTTGTTTCAGATCTTCGGCCTGATCTTCGCTTTCATACTATTCAAAATAATATGAACAGTTTGAAGAATGTTTCAATCATTAAGTTCTTACTGCTATATTAGCCTATATTAAAAAAAAAAATACTTGAACTATCAACCTTCTAAAAGGCAGTCAATTATGTATCACTTCAAAATTTTTATTTTAAGATTAGTTGCCATTTTAAATCTAACATTTCCTCACAACTGGTTTGACTAATAAACAATCAGTATTGAAGTTATTTTTAATAAGTAAAAATTGTATTCATCAGTTTTGTATGTAAATATTTCCAGCCACTTGCGTACCGGTACATAATTTTCTCAGAGTCTTATCTACTTTCCCACTTCATAAATTTGAATTTAATGTTTGTGATGTATTATATAACTGTAAATAAGATATTTATTGTAGTTAATAATAATTGTAGATTTTATTGTACAAAGGACCAGAATGTAGAGCAGCTTAAGTTTCCACTTACTTTTACAAATGTAGGCCTATATTCCACAAACAAATCATGTTAAATCAACTAAAATTTGTCACCATTAAAAATTATTCAGACATTTTTTTAATACCAAACTGTTAATGGAGACTATTCTGAATTTTAATTTTAATTTGCTGAACAAGTTTTACAAACCCAAACAATATTTTATTGGCCAAACTGAGTTTTTTTATATTAAGATACACTTTAAATTTAGTATGTAATATTTTATTTTTTAAATTAGCTCTAGAATGATTTTGTTACCATTGTAATGTCTATGAATAATGAAGCTGTTTTAAAATAAAATGTGTTTCTATGTTTTTAGCCTCTGGTTTCTATGTTTTAAGTATTAAACAAAAATAACATTAAAATAATGTATTCAATTTATTTTTAAAAAATAACCACACACTGCTGGGAAGTAATGATAAAAATAAATTTTTGAAAACAATTTATTTAATTCCTACAGTTAATCAGATTACAATAATACAACATAATGAAACACAAGAGCCCAGACACTTTGCATAATTGACACAAAGTACAACAAATGACTGAAAATGAAATAAATACTAAATGACAGCATGGCTAAAGCACAGAATGCCTTAAAATATGAGATGGCTGAATATAATCAATATTAACAATTCATTACTATTTAAAGTGTTATTATCATAAGTACGTATTAACCAGCAACATATTTTATCGTATTGTAAAGATTCAGAAACATTATTAAAGGTATAAACAATAAGTTTGAATTACATGGCCATAAACCTAATTTAAAAGGTATACAACAAAAAATTCACACAATTAACATTTGGCTAGGTTTTTAAAACCTTTCTGAGCAATCAAAACGCCACATGAATGACTCATTCTCCACCACATTTGATATCTGGTCAATGAGTAATGGAAGCATACTTTTACCAAGCAATGATTGGTAAATTTGAATATTATGAAACCATTGCTCTTGAAGATGTTATACAAACAACCTTCAACTCAACTTTGCTTAACTAGACTAACTCTATATGAGGTGTGAATTACATAAACTTGTCAGCTTAATAAAGTACTTGTCATGTGTTCAATGGGGTTAGAGTGTTTGGCTACAATTACATTTTTAAAATTTTAAAATTATGAAATTCAGCTTCTGATATTTTGTTTCAAAATCATGTTGACTGCTTGCTGTTTTCAATGCATTTGGCAACAAAATAAAGGTAGAGCAGAATTGTAGAATATTTTCAACAAATCCACAGTTCAGACCTAAAGAAAAAAACGCACTTTAATTTTTAACCAAATAAGAGTAGTAAAATAATTGTGACTAGTGTACATGTTGCTCGAAATCGAGCAATTGCAAAGAAGTAAAGTAGTTACAGTATAAAAAAAAAACTTATTTAAAAATTAATAAAAGTCATAATTTCCGATGAGTTTAAAAGACTCAACTCATAGATTACGCACCTAACAGTTCCATATAATCAACATTTCTTGTAAATAGGTTGTAAATGGTCTGGTTTTTTAGTGTATTCTACAAATCTTTCCCACTTATAGACACATTAGGTTGTACATGTTGATCTTCGTCAATGATAATGTTGTTTGCATAGTACTACCCGTTGTCACCATAGTATGTTTACAAATTTCAGTCATTTTTATAGCGATAACATTTTGTTTACATTACTTAACAACTGCCTGATTTTCTGCATAACCTCTCTGTCACAATTTCATTTGCTTCAATTGGCATTAATTTGGCTAGTTACTGTTATAACGTAAGTTATATTTACCTGAAAAAATGCAGAATTGAAAGGCCTAATGTTGTTCAGGTGGTAATGTGAAAAATGCAAATCCTTCAGTGAAAGTTTTATTAAGGTTTCTTGGATGTAGTCATATTATTTTAAAATCACTTAACTTTTATGAAAACATATATTTAATGTCCTTGCCGTATCAGTTTAATTCAGCCTTAGAGTGTTTTCCTTTGCCAATCATCATAAAGTTAATTCCGTGTGTCCTACAAAATAGTAACACTTCGGCTAACATCCTTGTTCATTGTTTGTGGGAATCTTCATATTGTAGGTGTTGTTCATTATATAGGATGATAACGATAGTAAATGGTTTTTTTAAATCTCTATTTCTCCTACTTGGTGGCGTTCTATGACTTTCCTATGTTTCCATGGTAAAAAAATCGGTTCTTTCAATGATTGCTCAAGAAATACAGTACCATGTCAATTCATTTTTCTTATATGGTAAAATATATCAAATTGCCCAGGCTTTCTAAATTTTTTACATTGTAATATGTACGAATGTAAAGTAAAGTAGTAAATATTTCATTTCAACAAAATCAGTAAATGTACCCGCGCAATGCACTTCGTTGAATTGAAAAATAAATAACAGCAATTAAATTATACAGCTGATTAACGGGAAATAGCCCGAGTAATACCAAAATGTAAACAATTATGTTCTCCATAAGGATAACATGGGAACTTTCAAAGCCACTGGGGCAGAGCCCAAGGGACTTTTTCAAAAATGCAGATGTTAAATGTAAATGCATGTTAAAAGTAAATGCAGGCCAGTTTGCAAATCTACGCGACACGCTTTTTCCAATGAGACGCCAATCGATAAAATTGGTTAAGAAATGGCGGAGGAGTTCAACCGACAAAGTTTCATGTAGCCTATTAATTATATAGATTCACTAAAATGAATGAAACAAAGTAAAAAATATATGTAGTGTTAAACATTATTTTGTCACTGTGTTACAATAATAAAATATTATGATCTGGTACTTCAGTTTAGAAGCCAAAAGCAATGGAAATAAAGAGGAGAACAATTAAGGGGGGGAATTTTCAGTAATAAATGGATATAAAATATAAACAAATTACAATATTTATAGAAGATTGTGCATATAATATGGCTGATATTTTTTTAACAAATGATTCTAATGCTACTACTTGTGCAGTATTTTAATGTTACAAAAACAATCCAACACATTTTCAAACCTATTACTTAATCCATTTACCGGACTAATAACAGCAAAGGATAAAATTATTTTGGGTATTACAATGAATTAAATAACATAGTTTTTTATGTCTGTACAATTTTTACGTGATTCTTAGAAGGGAACCCGACCTCTTATTTCTGAATCATTAATGCTTAACACTTTTGTAACTAAATGAACATAAAGATGTAAAGTTATTGTCAAAAGGCATGATAAAAATTTAAAATTAAATCATGACACTAGCAACAGTATCATTAACGGCTTTGTGTACTCATATGGTATACCTAAGTATTCACAATACTGTCCCATAACAAGATATTACCACACTAGGTGCACAAAGATCAAACAATGCCAAGCGAAAACCAATCCGAATTTACTCTACAGGGGTTTAATATCATAGGGTTTGATATTTTAGCTTTAGCATATTGAGAAAAAAACTAAGTGTGAGGCACTGAAGGTTGGTTTTTATCCACTGGGAACAACAGTACTAAAGCTTGAAGCTTTCTAAATAGGGGTTGTTGTAAAACTTAAAGAGCTTTGACCTTCAGTTGCTTCATCTTCGGAGCTTTCTTCTTCATCTGTCGCTTCATTTCCCGTTCTTCCCACTTGCGCTGCTTCTCTGGATCATCTTCCTGCGAATAAGAGGAAGTAGGTTTATTACATACCCATACTCAGACAAAATTCCTAGTCACCAAGTAATATTCTTGCAGCTCGTATGCTTGGACTCTCCTCATTTAACAAAAAGACATGGATTAAAAAAAAAACACTGGTTATTATTTATTTAGTCATTGATTTAGAAGAGTCCGTTTTTATTTGCGTGACAAAAAGTCCAGCAAAATATTCACCTCCTCAGTTTAATCACTCACTCACAATAATAATATACTTCACTTGAAAAAACATTAATAAGCCGTCACTCTTTTCTAAAATCTATTAACTGTTACCTTAGATAGGATCTATAATGTTTTAAGGGGTAACTTTTTAGCGCCTATACTTTATGGTGGGGTAATGAGTATACTTCCCAAATACTAAATACAGTACACCTTCGATTATCCGAGTCCCAGTTATCTGAGCCCCAGTTATCCAAGCCCCAGTTATCTGAGCCCCCAGGTTATCCGAGGTTGTTTTAGGCCTAAATATATATACAGGGTGAGGCAGTGAAACGGCACAATTTTTAAAAATCACAAATAATTTATTTAGAAAAAATATATAGTTGTTATAACATAAATCCTGGAAGTACATGTGTGGAAATTTATGTTTCACCTTAAAAATAATTAAATAATAAAGTAAACTGGCATACTTGGTTTAGTGCACATTGTTGAATTAGGGATTGAAATCAGCCCATGAGGTTTTTTAGCATAACGTCTGCAATCGTTTTATAGCTCTTTGTCGTGCTAGCAGTGGCTTAAAAGTTATTCAAAAAAAGGAGGAGAGCTGTACTCGATGGCCCGGAGACTGCGGCGATAGACTGAACTCACATCGGAAAGTGCTATGAGCACAGTGGCTTAATTATACAGTGGTTGTGGGTGGAGATGTAAATAATAAGTTTAATGTCAATAAGGATGTAAAAACTGTAAAAGGATTTCTCAATATTTTAAGGCAAAATAACTTTTTCTGTTTGAATACAGCTGCAACCCATGGCAATAACTGCTTGGATAACGTCTTTATTAACTGTTCAAGACAACAAGTTGGTCCGTGTAAAATCTTTGACTTTCCCTTTTCGGATCATGATGGTTTAAGTTTTAAACTTCATTGTACAGAAATTTATAACAAGACTAGTCACAATGTTCCTAACAGATTTAATTTAGTCCTACCCTGTAATGTTATACCTGATTTGACAAGTAGCCTAACTGCTTTTGATTGGAAATGTTTCTTAATGAGTGTTGCACATTTGGATGCAAACCTGTTTTTTAATGCAGTACTAGAGAAATTAGATTATTTTCAGATTTTAAAGAGAGTTAGACCTAATAATGGGAAAAAATCAATCAATGAATGGTATACAAAAAACCTTGCAGAAATGAAAATTGCCAATTATTGATAATTTTGTATTCACTAGGCATTGTTTTTAAAACATGCTTTACTCTTTGACTTCCTAATGTGGTAAGGGTACCATAACCCCTAACTTCAAAATCTAAGACACCTCCGTGTTATCCGAGATTCTCGGTAACCGAGGTAGTCTTGGTCCCAACAACCTCACTTAATCGGGAGTGTATTGTACAAGCTTAGTGACCTCGCTTTGTGCTAGAACTCCTACCTTCCACCCTTATTATTTCATCTGTTGACAATTATGTAATTACAATATTATTGTTATTTTGTTTTCACTGCTCTTGCCTACGCATATGTATTATTCACATTAAAAGTTTGTATAGCCAAAACTGGAGCTCTTTGTAACCTCTATCCCCACCATTTTCATTTTATTAGTGAATCTACTATACATTTATTCGCTTGTGTCCCAACACAGACACCAAATATTAACAGAGTGTTTTTAGCATCTAAACACAAACATCATATTAGTCATCCATTCATATTCCACTCAGTATTATTCATTGCTCACCTGCAAGATTCGCTCCTTCTCCTGACGTCTCTTCTCCTCCCGTCTAGCAGCTGCAGCCTCAGCTCGAGCTGCGTGAGTTGTTTTCAGGAACATCTCCTCAACACGAAGTCGGTTTTTGTCAGCCTTGTTTTTGCCCTAATATCAAATGTGTGATAATTTGAATTTGATCCGTTGTAAGTGATTGGGTTTGATTTTTTCATAATTTTTATTAGGTTTAAAATTAGGTTATAAAAAATCTTCTATAACTTGTAACATGTAAATAATTTATATATTTATAGGCCTAAACCAAAAGAAATGAACGCAATTTGTAGGGAGAGCAGGGGAGGGGGGTTAACTACTTCAAGGTCAAGATAGTTTTTGTGACTCGAGCCTGAATGAGAGGCGATATAACCATCCTGTCTCGTAACAAAATGGTTGTTTCTTTCTCTAATTTTGACAAAAAGTGATGTACTGTATTATGATAGATTTGGAATAATCAATTAATATTACAGTACCTAAGTTATTAAAATAAGATTTTTTATTAACTCTTGTCTGCAACTATACTTTATTCTGACCAAGTATACAAGTATTTGACTTAACCATATTTGTGTTTATTTGTTGTTTTTCTATCAATTCCAAATAAAGGAGCTAAGTGTAGTTTATTTAATAAATAATTCATTCGGAATTATATAATCATTATTATGAAGTTGTACAAAATAATGATTATACAATTTCAAATGTATAGCACTTCCCATTTTATTTCAGGGATTGCCCGTTTTAACCGACCTTTTGAGTTATAAGACCTATATCCGGTCCCATTAGGGTCGGTCAAGAAGGGGTCTATTGTATTAATAAAAACTTTACCTGAGTTTAAAGGATACTAGTGTACCTGTTGCTCAAATTCAAGCAATTGCGAAGTAATGCAGGCGTTGTTTTAAAACTAATAGCAGTCGTAATTTTTGATTACTTTAAAAGAGTTGACTCAAAGATTATGGAAATACTCACAATGTTTATAACAGTTTGATATAATCAAAATTTCTTGCAAATATCTTATCATTTTAAAAAAGCTGATCTTGTTTTTTTAGTGTTTTCTACAAATGTTTCCCACTCATAGCCGCATTAGGTTGTCCGTATAATAACGATTATAAATTTTAAAAAAAATATATATTTCTTTTTCTTCTACTTGGTTTCCATAGTTTGCAAATCGGCTCTTTTAATGATTACTCAGGAAATGCAGCAGTGTTAATTCAGTTTTCTTTTTGGTATATCAAATTGTCCAAGCATTCTTGCTTTTTTCCCATTGTAATATTTACGCTAACCCAAATTCAAATAGTAAATATTTAATTTCAACCCAGGCAGTAAATGTTTGTAGCACACGTTTCCTTAAATTGCAACTAAAATATTAACAGCCATTAAATTATCCAGCTGATAATAATGTAAATAAATATGATCTTCATAAGGATAACATGAGAACTTTAAAAGCCACTGAGGCAGAGCCTAAGGGACTTTTTTTAATGTAAGGTAAGTTTGAAAATCTACACACCTAGATGAACATTTTGGTACCTATATAATATGTGGGGTTGTCTTAAAACAACAAAAGTCTTATTGTTCACAAAGTTTCATGTACACTAGCGTATTAATAATATAGATCATTTCTTAAAGTTTAAATTGCCAAGTTAACTCTTGAGCCTTTGATCTAACAATTGTTCTTTTTTCTGGCCAGATATGACATTTTAAAATATACGTTACAGAAATAAAGCCACTCAAATCCAAACTAGATAACAAATCTTAATATTCCATTCCAAAATTAAAAGTGACGAAATACCTCCTTCCTTTGCAACTCTTGTAATAAATAGTACACTGAACATTTTCCTAAAGCTTGTTCCTCTGAATCATCAATCTACTCTATATATTAATAGGCAAGCATGTTTCTTTAAAACCGTTTTCTCAGCTTGTGTGCTTCGCAGGGAAAATCTACGCATACTTTTAGAAAGATATTTGCCTGTAGATGTGCAGAATCTCTTTATAAATTAGAATAGGCTAAAAAATAATCACAACAAATTTGAAAACTTCAAAACATTAGCATGGGCCTTATGGGTTGCCATGATGGTGACGAAATAACAACGAAATGTAAACAGAAAATCAAAACAAATAAAAGAAATTACAATCACATGTTTTATTTACAGCGTGGGGTGAAAATAGAGAAGTCTGTACATTGAATAATTTCGGTTGAGGTTTTGACCACTGGACAACCTCTAGTAGATATAACTGTGCAAAAGAAGTGTGAAGAATTACAGGGGTTGGTTATGGGGGACATTGATTGGAATACAAAAACACTATTTCAAAAAAAGCAAAGAAACACCATATCCACACTTTACCAGTGTGTGTCAACATCAAAACACCTACATTTTGAGAGATTACACAGACCTGAAAATATATGTAGCATAGACCAGCTAACACTACATCAAACTATAAAAATATTGTTTTCCAAACCTCCTTGCTGAGGCGGAAGCGCTTGACTTTCTCCATGCAATAGAAGATGAGCTGCATGAGGGGCTTCATCTGGTCCATGGCCTCTTGGGTGGTCTTGCCTTTCAGTGGGATGTTCAGACCAAACATGAGCACCTTCTTGACATCAGGCAACTTGACTAGAGTAGTTTCTCTGTAACGTTTAAACATATAGCCTCATCATAATATGTTGAAAATGCAATTTAAGCCAAGGAGCCTAAAGCTTAAAATTTTGTTTAGAAGTTTCTTACGAAATATTGGATTTTCTCTGTAGACCGTATTTTGTGTTGCTAGTCTAGTCTCAGACTATGATGGGGATGGGTTTAATCCCTGGCAGATATCCACAATCTTATGAGGGGGTTTGGCTACTTTTCCTTAAAAGTGTTAGATACACTTATTGCCACACAAAATATATTACACATATATTTGTTATTGTTGTTTGTATATATAACACACAAAATACCACTGGCATTCATGGTTTTCTTCTTTTCTAACAACAATTACTGTCCCACACATTATTAAAACTTTACTTCTAACAGGGATTGTGTCAAGAAATAAACAAAGTTAAGATCCTTGCCTTGATAATAGGGGTCTGCGAGTCTGACTTTTTTTGGTTCGGGTCGGGCCAAAAATTGTTAATTAAAAGATTTCTTTGTTTTAACTTCAATCTGTTTATAATAATATTTGATAATAAAATATGAAAAAAAATGTATTTATGTATATATTTCATTTTCATATCTTATTTACAGCTTGGGAATGACCTCAACTGCAAGAAAGAAGAAATAAAAATACTTTTATCAAGACATTCTTTCCCATTTTTATAACTAAGTTAACTGTTGAAATAACTAAATAGAAAAATTACAACAAGTTTTGATTGGAACTTAATATAAAAAGATCGTTAACAAATCAATTAACAAATCACAATTTTAGGGCCTGTTGACTGGCTTCAAAACTGCAAGAAAGAAGAAAATAAAAATCCTATGTTTCCACCATGCAATATGTATCATTCATTCCCTCCCTCCTAATCTCCCCTCCAACTGGCAGCGTGACTATAATAGTCGCGGTAGGTGGTTTCTGTAGTGGCAGCGACCTTAATAGTCGCGTTTTGCAAGGTTTTGGTTAAATCCAAATAAATGGTCAAAAATTATTGTAAAATGGAATAATTTTTAAACCTTTGGAAAGATAAGATTCTAAACTTGCACTTTGTTTCATAGATGAACTTTATCTCACGATTAGATCACTGTAATCAGGCACTACTATGACAACACACCATGCTGTTACAGGTATTTAGTAATATTAGCTTACTCAGTCTGCTTGGGGCCAGAGAACTGGTCTGAGAAGTGAATGTAGTCTATGAGATCTGTGTACTTGTTGAGAGCTGCGACCACCTTAGAGTCCAAGATGGAAGTGGACACTTCAGAAATCTCACTCAGCACGTTAAGAGAGCTCGGCAAACCAAACTTGTCGCCAGGTCTGCGCTCCGGGCAGTATGCACTCTGCAAAATCACCAAACTCAGTGACTACTTGTCTGATAAGTTTATTCAACTCCCTCTCTTATTTCCTAGAAGATTTGGAAACTGTTTTGCACATTACTTTCGACCACAACCATCGCTTATGGAGTGGTGTAGTCGGAAGTAATAATGTGAATAAACGGTATCAGCAATCTGACACATAGTTTCTCCCATTAGATTGTGAAAAACCTTTGTCATGGGTAATCGGTGGGAGTAACTATAATATATTTGTCCTACCACTGAAAGGAAATGATCACATTACCACACCTGTAAATAGTACGTAAAATAGTGCATTTCCGCTCTAGAACGGGAATGACCATTCCTGCACGCTAAATCAGCTGATTTCACAGCAACCACAGCTGTGGATCCAGTATGTTAATAACCGATTACGTATAACACAACCTAAAACCTATGAGAAAATTAGTTTTTTTTCATTATTTTATGGGAAAATCCCCATAAAAAATTTTTTAAATGAAAATCCGCCTGGAAATACAAGGGTTAATTAGTATCAAACATTTATATTTTTATGATACCAACATACCAAATATCATAAAAATCGGACCATACAAGTCTGTAGCTCTGTACACATCTACACATACAAACGCACACACAGACATCACTTCGAAATCAACTTTTTTGGGTTCAGGGAAACGGATATATCCACTAAAATCTCAAACTCAAAAAATGTTGACGCAAACAATACTTTCTCCATATACTACTGTATGATATCCAGGGGGAGAATGTAATAAAGCATTTTTCAACTTCTTCCTTCCTATATGGGCCAAATTTCAAGTGAACTGTGTATCCATTCCTTCTTACTAAACGTGTTATGGAATTAATCACGTGTGATTTGATAGATTGACAAATTAATCTCCATGACTTTAACACTATAAATGGCGCTATGTAACACTTTTTGTTTAAGTCTACATCTTGAGCACATCTTATTTCTTTATACAATGAGCATAGAATACAAACAACAGCTTTTCAATACAAGAAGTACCTACAGTATGTGGCTTAATAATAGAATTTATAAAAAAAATTTTAAAATGAAACTAAATTTGTTATATTTTATACTGAAAATGATAGGCCTAGTTTGAGTAGGTAGATACAAACTTACTACATCGGCCATGTCTTTGGCGAGCCTCACAGCTGTTTTCTTAGTGGCGACACAAAACACAAATGAATCCATCTCGTCTTTTGCCATATCAACATGTATGTGTACCTGGAAACAAATCATCGAAGGTTAAAAATGGTTCAAGTGAAAAACAATATTTACTTTTGTTTGGATAGGTCTAGTAACAAAGAAAGAACTGAAGAGAGAGTAATATCATAGATAAAACATACTGCCTTAGTAGATTAGTCATCCTAATGGAACAGCTGAAGCCAATTTTATTGTTAGTTCTGTACGTCCAACTATAGAGGTTATGTTTTGTTTACAATTTGTTTCTTGTTATAGCAGTCATTTAAAACCTCGTTTAACCTAATAAAACGATATAATCATAAACAATAACTGGTCTCCTAGTTATATAACCAAATAGTAAAGCACAAATCATGAGAATAACCGTAAAATAATAGAAACAAAATGTTGTCTACACTAGCGATCAGTGTGGACGTGCATGAACTAGACGCAAAAAACAAGCTTCAAAATTTACAATGGGATGAGGAGTCTACTTGTGTTGCTTAGTCTATGGTAATATCTCTCTAGAGAACTCATAGTGTGAAATATCATGTGATACAGTAGACTCCTGATGATTATCTATGAGTCAGGATTAAAGACAATCTGGAAAAAGTAAAAAAAAAAAAAAATACTATGCAAATTCAATGTATGTTATACAGCAATGACCAAAATGTTTAGCGTGAGGAAACCCATCATCTTGAAGACATACTAAAGTTGTTTACTTTACTGAATACCAATGCTTCATTGTTAAATAACCAATGAGTCTATCAGTTACATTTAATGTGGGTATAAATAAATAGTCCTATACATACGCCCTCCAATAATATATATATATATATATATATATATATATATATATATATATATTAAATAGAGGTGTGAGAACAAATTTTAAAAGTTTGCATTTAAACATTTACTATTACACAATTTTTTTTTTTGTCCTAGGACTCATTTTTTTAAATGACATACTTTTGGCACATGAATTGAAAGTGTGAACAGAAAATTTAATGAAAATGGATGTACCAAGCCAGATTTTACAGAGCAACTAATAATATAGGCAGTTTTGCTACAGATTTACTAAAGCCCTTCTTTTATACAATAAAGAATACAATGTGGTTCAGTTAAACTTTTATTACAGCAAGAAAGTAATCTGCTGCGGTCCAGTACCTGGTCCTGTAAAGGTCGCATGAGTTGAGCAATGACGGCCACCAAGTCTTGTCGCTTGATCAACTTCAGTTCTACCAACATTCCCTCACAACATGTACGGCCGCTGCACCACAGTGTATACTGGCTGTCTGAATCTTTCATCAGACCTCCAGCCTCGTTTTCCACTCTCCCATCATCGCCTGTAAATCAATTTATCCATCATTATTTTAATCATGTTATGAAAAGAAGATTACACTAAAAACTTGAGGGTTACATTGTTGCAATTATGTAGGACATCATTTAGTTTGTTGAAATAAATGAACAGGTTTCAAACACTATGAAAGCACAACTATTAGACACTTATTTTTCTTGCATATAAGTGTTTGATTATCTATATTACAAATAAATATACTAATTGAGTAAAAAAACCAGATGGCCTAGTAATAAAAGAGAATTTTTTACAAAGTAGGCCTATTTAAAATGACCAGCTTTGCATTTTCACAAGAGCTCAACACAACTATGATCTGCTTTGAACATTTAGCTAGATTTCAAAAACTTAACTCTGCTAAAAAACTGCTCTTACTATCATTTTAACATGTATTAATTAGGTACAAATTACAATCATTAGACATACACAGAATCATAATTTATGTCGCCAAACAAAATTTAAGAGACTTAAAAAAAGTTCAACGGATGGAAATTAAGTCTTACTCACCAACTAAACTGAAATTTTCTTCCAGCAAAGATTTATGTGTTGTATACCAGGCGTTGGCAAGTTTGTAGTTTTTAGTTCTGCCAGCAAAGAAGTTCAAGAAATAGACAATAAGTCCAGTGATCATGAGCATCTCAAGATAGAAACTGTCCCAGTTGGATCTCAGATGGAGAGGTACCTGTCACATTGTTACGTTTTCATTTAAAATTTTTGTTTAACAGACTATTACAAGAAAACATAATTTATCAAGCCACCTAACCTTAATACAACAATTAGGGACCATCAGTAAAATTTCCATCAGGAAGGAGGAGGACCATCAGTAAGCCTCTGTGATCTGTGACACCATCCAAAAATTTAAAAGAGATAAGACTTGACTTGACTTTGACTTGACTTGACTTTGCCAAAGAGCTTAAAAAATGGAGAAGCCACACGACAACTTTATTGGATAGGCCTATTTAAGTAGATTTGGGTTTTAGCTACGGTATATCACTGCTATATTGTTTAACACAGGTGAATGATTTTTAGGATCAATTTGGCTTTAAAGAATTGTTTTGCTCAGTTTAACTATTTTGTTGTGTACATGAACAGTGGCTTGGAAATGGTCATCAATGACATTGCCGTGCCCTGCATTAAGTTGGGGTCCGCACTTTTTCTTATTGCTGCTAGCAGGTACGCTGTGTAGCATTTGATCAGGATTACCAACATCATATATGATGTTTTTATAAATAAAAAAGTTTGCCGTTTAGACCCACACCGGAATTTTCCCATCAATCCGTAAATCTATTGCTCGGGTTAAAAGGACGGTTGGTAGGCCTAATGGCTCGACTGGCAACAGTCGTCTGAAGTGTGTTTTTATTACAATTTAACTTTTTATTCTGCAAAAATCGCAATTGTAACACAGTCCAATAGAGTTAGTTAGAGTTAGAGCTTTGTTCTACTTAGATAGAGCCTATAAAATTTATTCATTCAGATGGTATTTTTAAATAAGGCTATTATTTTATTAGCTTTTTTGTCATACTCTTGTAACCTAAGCCTATAGGATAAAACTTACACAACATCAGTAATAACCTGTTCCTGCTATATTTACTGCTAAGTTTATTATTTTTGTAAATTATTTAGGCCTAATTCAAAACATATAGTTACAGTACAGACAACCCCCACCATCATGGAAACAATATTAAATCAATGCATTACTAAACTCTGTAAAATTAAGAATACATGTCGTTGTAGGTTTGAAAAATATACTACAACACTGTTGCTGCTGTATATTCAGACTGTATGATATACTGCAAAATGTACCTATATATAGTTTTATTAATCAGTAACAAATTAGGGACTATTTTATTCATATTATTAAAAGTTGACTCTGGGCCGGTGCAAGGTGTTTTTGGCCAGACTTGAGAGAGTCATTTTGGTGTACTTTTTCGTTTTGAGGTTCCCAGAGGCCAAAAACACCATACATTCAAATTCATATATATATTTATATATGTGTCTGTTAGCGCGATAACTCGAGCAAAAATGATCCGATTTTGATTAAATTCGGTATAAACGAGTAAACCTAGATTTATTCAAACGAGTTCGCAAACCAGCATAATCAGACTATGGGAACAGGGGTTTATGGGAGGTTTTATGGGGTAAAAATCGCAGGATATGAGAACGTCGATGTTTCCGTGAAGTCTGTGCATGGAGTTTTTGGGTGCTATCTAGAGGAGAGAAATTTGATAGTTTTCTGTTCAACTTAGGAAAATGACACACTGTAATCCAGTAGCTACAAAAATTCTACATCCGTGCAATATCATGTTTGTGATGTAGTCCTTCGGTTGGAGTCAAGTGTTAAGCCTACAAAACCACGCAAGATGTGCGTTTTCACACATATATAGTGGTTCACTAAAATTAAAGGGTGGTGTGTAGATGTCATGCTTTTGGGGGGGGGGGATTAGGCTTGGTTTGGGGGTGGGGGGGCTTGCCCTTGGAGGCTGGGCACCCCTGATGGCACTGAATCATTTCTTATTGAGATTATTTAAAAATTAATGATGTATTATGATGTATGTTGTAATGTGATTTGTTGAAATCTATAGCTGCGGACAAGCCTACTGAAGCTTTTGTAGCTTTGAATAAAATGTAATTTGTTTATCTTTTGTTACATAAAATAAATTAAAATGATGTGCATGCTAAAGTATTGTTTTTGTAATGAAGCAAAATACCTAATTGGGTTAGAGATGAAAACGGAGGTAATATGATTTGGATCCCTAATTGGTCTGGATTAATGAAAGTTTGCTCTATTTCCTCTGAAGCCATGAACGATTGAAATTAGTTGAGCCTTAAATAATAAGGTTAAAAGAAGTTAAATTAGATTGGTTGTTAGAACCAACAACTCTTTAACTTGAACTCACTTTAATTTGAAGATTGCATTTTTGGGTGTTCTAAACATACTGCTAAAGTGTGATAACCAATATACTGCTTATAAAACTCAGCTAGTTTCCAATGTAATATTATACAGCAGCAGTATTAAGAAGTAAAATTTCAAAATGTTCAGTTAACACAGATAAAAAATAGCTTTAAAAATATTATTTTCCTACAGTCACCCGACAAAGTTGGCTTCCTTGTACTGTTTATAGTACAGAAAGCTGCTAATTGCTGCATATTTATACTTTGCCGTACGGTTTATACTTTGTCGTACGGTTTATACTTTGCCGCACATCAGGATTCCAACGAAACAACACAAATCAGCGTGGTTCTATTATGCACGTAATCCGTGTACGCTTGGAAATAGGTTGGCAGCACTTAAAGATAATAATACTATGAGCAGCTGATTGACTATTATAACTACGATTTAACCTGTCATTTCGTGTTTATAGTTTCGGTATTTTATAATTTCTGAACTTTCTGGACTTTTCTTTTAAACGTTTTTAAAACATTCCTACGATCTTAATAAACAAGAAAATACCTTTAAAGCATTTTTTTTAGGCGCGGAAACCACTTCAAATTACAAAAACATACGGAACTATATTCTCAAAACGCGGAGCACATTTCTTACCGAGGAAAAATCGCGGAGTGATACGGACCGCGGGTACTACTTTCTCTAGGGCACCATTTGTGTTGCCAGCTGAACCTAAAAACGTGTTGTATAGGCTAGTGTTTGAAAGACTAATTATTTATATGCTTTATAGTGACTGTAGGAAAAATATAATGTGTAACACGAGTGAAAAAGGCCTTTGCTGCACTCGAGATCATTCCACACTCGCCTGCGGCTCGTGCGTAAACATTGCTCTCGTGTGCAGCAAAGTGCCACTTTCACCACTAGTTACACAAATAACTATATTATTGCCAGTAGCTTTTGGTTACCTTAGTGATTGTTATCTTGGGCGCTTCCTTGTCGTCGATTTTGTTCCCTCGATCGCTGTCATATCCCTCAAATTCCTCATCGTCCTGGAAGTGGTCAAACTCACTTTCCTCGTCCTATAAACAAAATATTGGTCTAAAGGTTATTCATGTAAAGGAGCTATTTATTGAAATATTAGGCTACAGCCAGAACGGTATAAGTTTATCCTTGAACGTACATTATAGACAAATATATTTTTTTAAATATTTTACTGAAATTTGACAGCTAGTATTAAGTTAGCCTATTGATTTTAAGGGCCAGGGTCACACTCAATCTTGATAACATAATCCACGGTTTATTCACAGTCATAATTTTATATTTGTACCTAATATAGATGACAGGTGGCTTAGGAATAAGAGCTGAGTACACATGAGCGACATCTGCAAGGTAGAATCACAGCACATTGTAGTAGCAGACCTCAGAGTTAAGTGGAGTAGGCCTACATACACTGCAGCAATATCACCACCTGCATTTGACTGCCCCAAAGGATGATTAATCTCAATCTGATTCCAATTCTAAAAGTTTTTGTTATCTTAAAATTCTTCTGGATGCGACTCTGATTTCGGACCAAGTTAGATGTACAGACTTAAAAGCCTACAAAAATTAAGCCTGCAGAATTATTTTACCAAATATGATTTATTTGCTTGAACCCCCAAAATTTGACAAGGTTTTTTAAGAAAAGCAGATTATGAATATCTAATTCGGTCTAAATAGGTAATGTAGTTTAATTTAAGAATAAAAATTTGATTAAATAAAATACATTGTCATCTTTTAGTACTGTACGAGCCTTAAATAAAGGAAACGGTTCACAGTGCAGTTACCTCAACCACTGCTATGTCATCATCATCCTGCACAATTCCTTCTCGATTTTCAGACGAATGGGAAGGAATATTAGATTCTATAGTAGCACCCTCATCTTCTTCAAAGTCCTCAAATTCTGCAAACTCACTATCTTCCATTTCATCCCTGTAGTGGGATGAGGCCCAAACATGTGTACCAACCAGGGCAATGTGAATGATGACCAGCCCTAAAAAGAGCCTCATTATACCCTAAAACATAAAAATACAATCAGGCCTAAGCAAAATGAACAAACAATATATCAACAGGTAGGGGAGGAAAAGGGGGGATGGTATTGAGGGAATGGAATTCCCCAAGTAAACAGTTTTGCCAACACGCGTTTGTGAAAATTCCCGTGTGCCTGCCAGACCGGGGTTTTGGTAAAAGTGTTAATGCAAATAAGTTATTGTTGCAACAAGGGTTTCAACCGTTCACTTTCAATAAGTGCAAAATGCCATTGAAATAAGCTAGACACAAAGTAAAATAATACCTAGACAAACACACTGAAATTGTCACAATAGACATCTGGGAGCCAGCAAACTAATTTACATAAAGCTGGCATATGAAGAAACAGGACATGGAAGCTGACAAATATATCTTCAGAAAATTGTTGAAGAAGTAGTAAAAATGGTTAAAGAAGTGAAAAGTGTTAATGTACAAATTAACAATAGACTGGCAAATATTGAAAAGAATGAGAGGTTATCTCCTAAAATTACAGCTATCGTAAGTCTTCTGATTCAGAAGTAAGAGGTTTTATAACTAGTAAAGGTGGATGAGGCAAAAAAACTTGTAAACATGACTGAGATAGAAGATGCCAAAATTCTGTGCAAGGCGGCATGGAATTCGGTGAACCGTGTATCAAAGCCAACCCCAACTTTAACACGTTGAGTGCTGACAACATCAATTAATGTAGTTTCACAACCCTCACTACATTAGTTCAGTATGAGCTCAGCCATTGCGGGGGAACATTATAATCTTTGCTAGCCTGTAGCTTAGAATGTAAGCTTTATTTTAGTGTAGGTTGGTACACAAATTTCCCGTAAAATCCCGTCTGACAATGCTTTTGTCCCGGTTTCGGCGATTTTCTCTCTTCAAGCCACATTACAAAGCCACTGACTACTGATCCAGGCAGTGCTGCTACCTTTGGGTGTTTCAGGGAACTACGTCCAATCTCGGCGTAACGTAGTACAATCACCGCTGCTCTTTTGTTAATTCGTCAGATTGAAATATTTTAATGCCAATTGCTTTCGCTGTTACGGTGCCGCACCGGGGCTTTGACAGGGCCTCGCAACCATTAGAGAGCGCCTGTTTGAATGCCTGCCACACTGAACGTGTTAAGTGCATTGCAAATCCTGGAAAATTTAACAAACTTAAGTTATTCTGGGGGAAATCGGCAAAATCAAAGACTCAGAAACTGACAGTGAAGCAAATACTAGAACAAAATCGCCGAACAAATCTAGTTGGATAGTTAGTTGCGAGTTGGTAAAAAAATATATTGTTTATTTTTTAAATTATATATTAGTAAAGATCTGGTATATAGTTGGGGAATATTGAGTACTGTACTTTGAACTCGTCGAAAACAGAACAGAAGGATAGCAAATAGGTTAGCGGAGGGCAATTTTGATGATTCTCTTTTGAATAATATCTATTGGTGCAAGTATACTTTTGTATCCATCACCCCAGGCCAGATTGCCATATTACAAGACAGATTGTACATAAGAATAATACACATTCTTTAACAACTAGTGTACATGTTGCTCGAATTCGAGCAATTGCAAAGTATTACAGGAGTTATTTCAAAACGAATAACAGTCATATTTACAATGAGTTAAGAGTCAACTCAAAGATTACCGGTGTGTAACTCAGACCATGTTTATCTTCGCTATCGATAAACCTAAAGCATTCCGGCCGATGCTCTGGAGAACACCTTCCACGTTCCGGCATACCTCATGCGTATCATAAAGGATTATCTCCGGTTCCGTCCCCTCATGTATGAAACTACAGAGGGCCCACGGACAATGAGTGTCACTTCATGATAGCAGCGATTTTATTCCTTGTATTATGAACATGAGAATTTTGTTTGATAAGGTTGGGATTTTTTAGAATATATGATATAGAGTCAAATACATAAATGTTAATTACAGTTGGAATTTGTAGCTGAATGTATATTTTACATTACACATTTTACATACCCTCTAAGCTATTAATATTTTACTAAAAAATACACTTTATTAGTTTCCTTGTACGGTAGCAGCAAACCTAGGTACTTGTTAGACCTAAGTTAATGCTATTTAAATAGATTTAATTGAAAATCAATTCAGGCAAATGGAAATTTGCTTAGTCGGCAGGTTTGCTGCGGCGTGGTATTAATAATTTAACACTAAGTAATCTTCACCTTAAAATTCACACCCTGGTATGTCTCTGGTTGTTTAGATCTAATAAAATAGCCTATATTGATTAAAAGTTGACATGTTTTGAGCTTAGACCAAGTAACTTAGGCCTCATTCTGCCTGACCCTCTATTCATTTGCCAATCAAAGCACTGTTAGAACAACTCATCCTCTCTAACACATATGGTAGGCAGTTTTTTCTCTTTGATTCTAACTTTATTTATTTATTTGTAACGAGTTATTTTTCCTAGGGGGGTAATTATTTGCTATTTGGCAGCGCACCGATTGTTGAGGTAAGCAAGCGGTGGCGGCGAACCTGGCTAGCGCCCTTTGACCCGGCTTATCAGTTCGGATAAGCTTGGGTATCCTGGAACTACCGGACAGCCTAAGACAGTCATTCGACTCTTGGATCCCGGACAGTGAAGATAGTTGGGTGTTGTGGAGACGACTGGAGTACGTTGGTGGTGTGATCGCGCCGAGTGTTGGTGTTAAGTTGGGGGTTGAGACCCGCTAGCGGTGAGTGGACGACGTTCCTTGCATTTTGATTTAAGAGTTGATAGTTAATACTAAAACATTCATCTCTGATTTTATTGGTTGAGTTGTAACCGTGCTGGTGTAATCCTGACATGGTAGGATTAACAGGTGTCAGGAATAATATTAAAGTATATTCCTGACGGTTCTGGGCAGGCGCTAAAGCGCAAATAATATATTTTATCGACTATAGTAGATATTATTTTAGTAGATTTTATAGTAGTAGGTTAGTTAGGTAAGGTTAACCTTACCTAACTAACCAAACGATATATCGAATGAAGCAATCGATTAATCGATATATCGATCGATATTTTCATTCGAATGAGTGTAGGACGTCAAGTAAAGTGCAGCCTAGGAAATTTATGTAGGCTATTACTTACACGGTATGATACCTGGATAAAACCCAAGTTCAACTTTTACAGTAAAAAATAGCCTAATTCAAGGCCTATTTTAGAACTAAGTTCAACCAAAATGTAGCCTATTCCTTAAATAGAATTTACGTAATAGCTAGTTTCTTTTGGAAGAGTAACGCTAACTAGAACTAGGTTAGGTTTACTAATTTTATTAGCTGCTACTGACTGACCGATTGAATGTAGAATCTTCAATTCAATAGCGAGAAGCAGTGATTCCAATCTCCAATCGCATTCAACTTGAACTAGTAGAACTAATTGAAGAAATTGCAATAATTGAACCCCTAATGCCGATCAAATTTTTCTGCTTTCTTTCTGATCTGAGTAATTTATTCTATGGTTGAGTACAAAATAAAATATCTTGGTCTTGCTCTTGCGTTACAAAAGCTCCAGTTTCCACTCCAGTTGAAGCTGCTTGAGCTTGCTTGCTTAGTTAGGCTAGCTCAGCTGCTTTGCTTGCTTTATTATTTAGGTTTTCTGCTGACGACAACGAAAAAGGGGAGACGCAGACGACTGACGAAGTGACAGGAGAGGAGACAGGGACAGGGCTATAATAGACCCGCCGCAGCAAGCCTGCGGACTAAGTTAATTTCCATTTGTCTGATTTGATTTTCAATTAAATCTATTCAAATAACATTTGGTTTAACGAGTATCTAGGTTTGCTACCAACATGGAGGGTAGTAAAGTGTGTTTTTAGTGCTCATTTTTAGTAATATTATATTTTTAGTAATAGCTTAGTATAAAATAAATATATTAGCCAGGTTTGATGGGAATTTTTAATTAATCAATTTGTCCGTAACCAATATTCATACAGAAATACTTCAATATACTAAATTATTTGTTTTTTAAGCTCTTCAAAATGGTCTAGAGAAAATTTGGGAAATTTTTAGTTTTGAGGGTCAAAATCGAGAAAAGCCAATTTTTACCCCATAAATCCCCCCATAAAACCCAATTCCCATGGTCCGATCATGCTGGTTCGCTAACTCGTTCGAATAAACGTAGGTTTGCACGCTTGTACCAAATTTCGTCGAAATCTGATCATTTTTGCTAGAGTTATCGTGCTAACGCCAACGGACATATATATAAAAATTAATTTGGACGAATGGTGTTTTTGCTTCTAGGGACATCAAAATGAAAAAAGTAAATCGGTCCCGGGTCCAAGTCTTACCATGATCTATCACTTATCGCGTCATATTCAGCAAGCTTTTTTCATGGTCCTCCAGTAATGAAAATAAGATAAAAAAGTTATATATTCTAGTCCCCATTAATGTAATTGATATGTTTTAATCCAACACCTCTCACCACCTAGGTAGTTGCGCTATAAGCTGTTCAATATTCGAATTATTTTGCCTATTAGCTCACCGTCTAGATGCGTCTATCACTTATCGCTCCATATTCAGCAAGCTTTTTCCATGGTCCTCCAGTAATGAAAATATAATTGATATTTTTTAATATAACACTTCTCACCACGTAGGTAATTGTTGTGTATGTCGTTGAATATGCTGAATTCCTTTCTATTAGCTTGACGTATATATCACTTATATCATGAAAAAAATATTATATATAACAAATATGATGCATTGTTGAAGTCCAAAAACCTAGGATTAAAAATCGTGAAATTCCCGCATTGGAATGTTCTCCGAAAGCTTGTGCGCATACATTAAAGTAACGTTTTGTCTATGACTTTTGTAGGAAATAATTTCCAATACAAGGCGTTGACTTGTCCAATATAAGACTGTTGTGTGTTATATGTAACACAAACTATTTTTCGGGTAAATTTTATCACCCCAATTAAAAGTCGTGTAGATTGTCATTGACTACAACCTGTTATATACAATAAAAATTACTTAAATACTTAAAAATACTAAACACTATTTATGTATAACAGTAAAGAACTAATGAAAGAACTGATGATACATTGCGTACAATGTTTACTCGCAACGAGATAGGAGGACCAAGCGCTGGTCTGTTGTAAGTTGATGCGAGTGTTCCTATTGTTTCGTCCTGCCTGGCACTTTTATGGCCTAGCACTCGTCAGATGCTCGACAGCCAACTTCAGCGGCCAAAAAGACCGGTGGGGCACACGGGAGGGACTAAGGCTAACATATCTTGTAGTGTCAGCGTTCGCCGCTAGAACTGCTAAGTTGAAAAAATTTAAATTATTTTTTTATTAATTAATTTTAGTTATAAAATTAACTTTTTAATTATAAAATATTGTTTTAAAATTATAAAATTAATTTTTAATTTTTAAAATTAAACTGTCATAACATAACCTAACCAACCAGACTTGCTGATAATATAAAAACTATATACTTAAGATAAAAATCTAATTAATGATTACTTATAATTTTTAATTAATTATAAATTTAATTTTAAAATTTAGTATTATAAAATTTAACTGTCATAACCTAACCTAACCAACCAAACTTGCTGATATGAAAAATTTGTTGACAAAAAGTTAGTGCTGCCAGCGGGATTCGAACCCAGGACTTCCTGAACATCAATCCGAAACGCTACCAACTATGCCACGAACGCCACTGAAATCAAATCTTTTCGTTACGGCTAAGCTGGGTTTTCCTAGGCGCGGAGTCGGCCAGCGGAGAGCGGACAGCGGAGAGCGGAATTGAAATTAACATGGCATTCCGCTCCGCTTCTAGGAAAACAGTAACATTAAATTGCCTAAGACAAGCTGAGTCCGCTCTCCGCGTTCCTCTCTCCGCTGGCCGACTACGCGCCTAGGAAAACCCAGCTTAATCGTGTTGCCTCAAGAGAAGACATTTATTAGCCACTAGAGATATGACGTCACTACACCTTTAGCCTTAGTCCCTCCCGTGTGCCCATTCCCCAAACAGACAGCCTGGTTTGTTGTTGTTGTCTGTTCTCTGTTGCTAGTGTTGCTGTGTGCGTGCGGTCTGCGGTGCGAATCAGAAGATCAGATCAGAATATCAGAATTAACGGCTTCAATCTCCTCACCTCAACTCATGTTCAATTCTATTTTATATTGCCGATGAGCGCTGAAGATGTGATTGGGTTATTGTTAAACAGTAATATTATGGACATAGTCTCTATCTCTACTAGGCTATATAAAGCTTAGTGCATAACCTTTGAGGTTTGATCGTGCATAAACATTTACTGTAGTTGTAATAGAGTCGTTCACACAATACCCACTTTAAACCAGTCTAATTTACTTTTGAGCAACGTCATGTCTAAACTTTATAGCAATGAAAGCAAATCTAACTTTAGTTTAGTTCCAGAAGAAGTCAAGAATGTTATTGATTTGACACTCAAAAGATTTGTCAGCAATCCAAATGCGAAAGGTTGGTTACCTACAAGTTCAATAGTGATAAGTAATGGTAGGCCTACTAGCCTACTATTTTAGTAGCCTACATGTAAAAGAAATTGAAGTTAGTCTAGGGAAGGGATTAGAATCGATAGGTCAAACATCAATATTCACCATCGATGGTAACATCGACGTCAACCATCGATGTGCCGATAACATCGTTGCAAAATCATCGATGATTTTGGGACTAAAATATTATTGTTTATCAGTTTTGTACCCTCCAGTAATGGGAAACATTGGTATCTCAATAACTTAGGCCTATTTTACTTGGCCAAAAACATTGATATGTTTGACGAAAACATTGATGTAAGTTAACAAAAACATCGGTAGGTTAACCTATCATCGAACATCAATGGAAAAACATCAATGTTTAGAAAATATTGGCAATTGATGCTTACCCCCAGTTTAGAGTCTGTAGGCCTAATATAAGCAATTAAATAGGCTATCTATGTTTGCCATATTTCAAAAATAGTTAACTTCCTCATTCTTAAAGCTTACCTAGGCCTACCTGAAACTACTGTTAACAATCATCATTGTAGAAGGGGAATGACCCTTGGTGGAGTTGCAATTTGGTGTCGCTCCAATATTAAATATCAGCCACTTGATACCACCGAGTTTAGTGTTGAAGGAGAGTGCGAACTGACAGCAATGTCTCTTGAAGTCAGTAAAAATAAAAAATACTTTTGGTGGCAGGTTACAGACCTTCTGACAATCTTGACAATTTTCTAGACCATATAAGTGACTGCCTGAATGAGTATGCATCAGTATAATCCCCCCATAAAACCCAATTCCCATGGTCCGATCATGCTGGTTCGCGAACTTGTTCGAATAAATGTAGGTTTACACGCTTCTACAAAATTTTGTCAAAATCTGATCATTTTTGCTCGAGTTATCGTGCTAACGCCAACGGACATATACACGGTGTTTTTTTTTAACTTGCATCTTTATTTATGTAAAAACCGCAATAGATAGAAATGTATGCAGTTTGCGGGAATCATCTATTGACGTAGGGGGACCAATTGTTTTGAATTCAACGTTACATTCACAGTCCCCCCCTTTCCACCCCTGCCCGCAACATATTTTTTTTTAAATAGCAAGGTACCCCTTGTGATATATCAAATGAAAGCTTTACGTGTTAACGTATACATTTTTTGTGGCCTGTGTATTTATTTACTTATTAATATATTTGCCAACTTCAGATCACTTTCTAAAACAATATTACTTAAGGCTTAAATACCAGCATAGGAGAAAAGTAAGAGAGCTTAAGGCAAAGTCGATACTAGAGACAATTGAAAAAGCAGATAATAAAACTAAGGGAGTTTGGAAAGTTATAAATGCAAGTAGGCCTCATCAAAAGAGAGAACCAGAAAGCATTTGCCTCAAGAACAGCAAGGGTGAAATACTTTTGAATCCTGAAGGTCTGCGAGAGTTTCAACAAATACTTTGTTGAAGTAGGTAATTCCAACTGCCAAAAACAAACAAATAATGCTCTTGGTCATCCAAGCAAAATAATAATATCTTCGTTCTTCATGAGCTCTGTCACAAGTGAGGGAATAAAAAGCATAATAAGTGGACTGAAAAACAAAAAATCAGCTAGAGTTGATGAAATCTCTCCTAAACTGCTCAAATCAATATCAGATATGATTACCATTATGTCACACACTCAATAGTTCCTTTGTTGAAGGCCACTTTCCGTCCAAACTTAAGCAGACAATTGTAAAGCCCATCCTGAAATTTGGGGATAAATTGTGCTGCAAAAATTACAGGCCTATAAGTCTCATTTAGACTTTCTCTGAAGTGTTTGAAAAGGCAGCTCTGGAAAGATTGTGGAGTTTCCTTGAAACCTATGACATAGTGTTTGAGGGCCAGCATGGGTTTGTCAGGAACAGATCCACCACTAGTGCCATACTCAGTCTATTAAACAGAGTTGTAAAAGACATGGATTCTAATCAGTTTGCGGTGGGCATATTCTTCGACCTCACGAAGGCCTTTGATATGGTTGACCATGGGCTACTTTTAAGTAAAATGAATGAAATTGGGATTAGGGGTACTGCTCTTCACTGGTTCTCCTCATACCTGGAGGGGAGAAGGCAGTCAGTCACGATTCCTGCAGTAGATGCAAAGGGGTGCTTGGAAAATATTTATTCCTCAGAAGCTTCAGTTAGCAGGGGGGTGCCCCAGGGTTCCATCCTGGGACCAATCCTCTTCCTCATTTTCATAAACAACCTACCATCTAGTGTGAAGAAGGAAAATATGCTTATTTGCCGACGACACCCCCTCACTATCTCCAATCCCAGTATGGAGGTTTTAGAACAAATCGCTTTTATCGAATCAAACTGTCTTCTTCAATGGTGCGAAAAGAATCATTTATCCCTAAATCCTGAGAAAACCCAACTTCTACAATTCCAAATTTCTTAAAGACGATCCCAGAAAAATCACAGTCTTCTAAATGTCCTGTTAGACGAAACCATAAGTTAATCTGTCCCTCCCAAAATGTGAATTTCCTTGGAGTACTCCTTGATGAAAATCTCAGATTTCATCCACATATGTAGCATGTAGTAAAAAGGGTTTTGGTAGGTATTTTCATGCTTCGAATGCTCCGACAAACAGCCAACTCTGATGTTCTCCTGTCTGCATACTACGGGCTCATCTATCCCTATCTGACATACGCCATTCCTGTATGGGGCTGTGAAACCCAAAGAACACTGTTTTTGTTCAGACTCCAGAGGAAAGCAATCCATATTGTGTTCTCTCTTCCAAAACCTCACTCCTGCAGAGAAATATTCAGATCATTCACAATCCTTACCTTTCCATCCATCTATATTCTGGAAACGTTGTCATTCGCTAAAAAAAACAAATCATCTTTGACCACTCCAGTCAACCACAGATATTCTTACCAGAACACTTCAAACCTTGCCATTCCCCGTCATTCAACTGCATTTTTCCAGAGGCACTTTCACTACAATGCTGTGAAACTCTTCAATAACCTCCCTTTCCCATTACAGGCTGAACAGGATGTGGGTAAATTTAGAAGGGAGTTAAAGTCCATCCTGTTAGATTTACGTTTGCCACGATTACTGGATAATGTGGCAACGTAGTTCCAAGTGATTGTATTATTTTGTATTTATTTGTTTTGAAGGAATAAACTCATTATTTCATAAGGCAGTATACAGCGTCCGTGAAAACTGGTAGGGACTTTACTTGTGAGCACTAGTTTAATTAACTTGTAGTTGCTTGTAAATACTTTAGTTGTTTTGACTGTAAGATAAACAATAGGTATGCTTTATCAATTAAGATTAATTTGACTTGGCTAATGCATGTATATGTTAATCTGGCCTAATAAATAACTTATTGACTTATTTTCATATAGTTTGAGTTACCTGATAAAGTGGGCTTTCTTGTACTTATTATAGCACAGAAAGTAAGTTAAGTTAGCAAAATCGCTGCATTTACCACAGGCTACTTAAGCTACTTTTGCCACACTCTTTTTTTGCGAGCCAATCCGGTATTCCAACCAAACAACACAAAACTGTGTGCTTTTATTAGGCTCAGACTTAATACTTTACTTGCGTAGGTACGCTTCAAAATTAGTTGGCATCACTTGTATCCCATTACCTTACTGTACATGATTAAGTTACCTCCTCCTATGCTTGAGAACAGTTTGTACTGGAAGCTGCGTCATTATAATAAACATTTGTAGGCTACACATTTACAAAACTTCCATGATGGAATTAAGGTTATTTGTGTTGGCGTGGACAATGGTCTTGGGACTCTGAAATACTCTAACTTATAATTAAAATTTTGTTCTTCTAAAGTTTTTTTTTTTCAGAGCATGAGTATCCATCTTCGTTTGAATCCTGTGAGAGAGCATATGTGCATGCCAAAGCTAAAGAACTAGGCTTGAAATCAAAGAGTAGAGGGTAAGAATTCAAATTTATATTCTTGCATGGATTAATTTGAAACCTGGCAAGTTGAACTGCGTTGAAGTGTTTAGGTACTGATTTAAAAATAATTCACGTGCACATTCTATAACTTGGTCCATGTTAATAATGAAATCAGTTAAACTCGAAATAGGCCTAAATAATACCTGTTCTGTTACAGTCTTAAACCCTCCAATCTAAGATAATCGTACAGTAGAAACCCCCTCATAGAACCTTAAGGTTAACAACTCCTTAAAATGCTCCCAACCTATTTCGCTCGCCTTCAGACTCGTAAGTAGTACAAGTCTTGGTATAAATTCTTTGCGTTTATGTGTTTTTCATTAAAAATTTTCAGGCTTAAATTTTATTTCATCTGTAAATTTCCTTTGAGGCGATAACTTAGGGTTTATTTTGTTTCGTGGCTATTAAAAAAAATCCAGCATTAGGCCTTTTCAATTATCCGATCTTCTTTCTTTCTGTTGGTTAGAATCTTTTACATATTCAAATTTAAATTACAATCTAAGTTATGTATGACATTATTGTATTTCTTAAAGAAACTCACGGAAAGTAAATAAAAGAAACGTCTTATAACAGTAAAAAATATATTTACGCTTATACTGTTACTCACAAGACAGTACCTATATACAAAAAGATGGTAAGTGGTGATCGATTTCGATTGGACACTCCAATCATCATCAGACCCAATAGGCAAATGACGTCATTCGCCTAAAGAAGAAAATTGATTGATTTACATATATGTTACAGTACATTTTTTAGAAAATTTCTTTATTTCCATTTTGATGTCGCCAGAGGCCAAAAAAACCATCCCTTCAAAATATTATATAGGCCTACTACTGGGGTGGTGTGTACCTATGTATATATATATCTAGATTTATAGCCAATGTCTCCGTAAACGCAATAACTTGTGTAATTTTTTATGAAATTTGGTTTGAAAGTGTAAGTAGGAATAAACTTGAATGAGTTTGCGAACCAGCATAATTGGACCATGGGAACAGGATTTTATGGGCGGTTTTATGGAGTGAAATTAGATTTTTCTAATTTTTGACCCTCAAAACACAACATTTTTTCTAGAACATTTGAAAGTGCCTAAACAAACAAATAATTTAGTATATCGAAGTGTTTTTGTACAATTATTGTTTACAGAGATAATTCAAAAAGTTGATCATTTAAAATTCCCATGTTATTCTTATGGATATTATTGTATAATGTTGTAGTTTGCTTTTTTATGGACATATTTTGATCAAACTTGTCAAATTTATTTATTTTGTACTAAGTCATTGTTATTTTGCTAAAAAAACCCACATTATTAGCCTCTATGTAGCAGCAAACCTACTAGGTACTTGTTAAACCTTTGTTACTGTATATAAAGAGATTGAATTTAAAATCAATTCATTTAATGGAAATTTCCGTAGTCTGCAGGCTTGCTGCAGCGGGGGTATTTTGTTTTAAATTTAAAATTATGTAAAACAACAATAATAAGGACTACCTGCTGTGTGCTCCGCAATGGGAATAAAATTAATTTTCGAAGAATGGGTTGTCCCCTTTAACATAATAGCCTAACAGGTTATAGAATCTTGTTTTATTTCCTTAATCGATGAAAAACTTTTAGATTAAACAAACCTACCACATAGTTGTGTAAAATATTATATTTAATTTGTTTGGACCAGCTATCTGAAATTGTGAAATAAGAAATTTTGCAGTTCTGATTGTTTACATTGAAATACCAACGCAAACTTAAACATTGTGAGTTTTCTCATGCTTCCATGGAGACCAAAATTAAAATTATTAATATTTTACTTTTGAAAACATCACCTCAAATCTTTGCACATCCAAGGTGTGTAGCCCAAGAGGAACTCAGGGAAGTGAATATGGCATTCCTAGGAATGTGGACCATCTTTGTGCTTAATTTTGGCTGTATCGGTTTAGTATTTTAGTCGTGACAGCAACACAGACAGACAGACAGATAGAGACACCACCTCAATTTTATAGTAGTATAGATAAATTAGTATCCTATAATTTTTTTGTTTGAGAGAAATAATTTAATTTAGGATTATTTACTGTTAAAGGAAAGGCCTGACGAGGGCTGTAACGGTTTACAAACGGGAAGAATCAACCATTATACAAGCAGACGCTCTCATCTCATTGGCCAGGTCTGCACGGCAGTCGGCTCTGTCACTCGTCACATCATTCCCAGTCGGGCCTAAAGAACGTCAGGAACTGTTGCCTATAACTGAGCGTGACCGATCTTTCCCCCCTGACACTTCAGGTAAGCTGTGATCTTACTTATTTAATATTTACGCAAGCAATTGATGCTGTTTTATCTAACGTTCTACCAACAACCTGATGATGTACCCTAGTGGTATGAAACAGCTGTAGTTGTACTAACTACACACGGATCGTTCGACGCAAAGAGGTAAAATAAACCATTTTTTTACTACGCAAGCAGGTTTTTTGTGACAATTACTCCTCCAAAACTGCAATAAGCATTGTATACCAACCCCGTACAAAGGACGGGTACTCAGCTAGTTTCTAATAAATTTGTTGTGCTTATTTTTGAGCTTATTGTAATTTATAAAGGGATTCTGCACATCTACAGGCAAATATCTTTCATTTGGTACCAACCCCGTGTAATTCGATCCAGTAGTATGCTAGCTGTCATAAGTTTTGCAAAAGTTTTTTAGTATATAAGATATAAGATATTTGTATTTAAACAGCCTGTACTTTCTGTTATTCTGATAGTAGTGCATTTCCCAATGATCTTAATCCATATCTAAGATGCTACTCGCACATAGATTTATCAATCAGTTTCATTGTCTTGAATGGTACCAATAACCACACTCTGTTTTAATAGTATTGATGTGTTCAGTGAGAGAAGCGTTCAAAAACCAGACTCGGCTTAACAATGGTATTCCGAGTGTTCCACCGACGCCTGCAGCCTCAGAACTGCAACAGAGCCGCAAGTCTCTTCCCATCTGGCAGACCAAGGATCAGCTGATACAGAGCATCAGCACTCACTCCGTTGTCATAGTTGTGGGGGAAACTGGCTGTGGCAAGTCCACCCAGGTAATATTGTGCTTAGATCATAGATAAGATATTAAGGCCAATTCTACACAAGCATAAAATCCGAGACGGGATTCCGCGTCGGGGGGCCACGTGCTCAACAGGGACCACTTTTCCTGGTACCTCTGGTGGTAACTAAACATGGCATGGAATGTCCCTCTGGTGAGGCTGTTCGATAAAGCTTGATGTGTCCACAATTGCCTCTTATTTCCTAAGCAGTTTGAATAGTTGGAGTTGGATAACCCCAGCTATACAACCGAGCTCCACCAAGTCCATCCTGCGTCTTAACCGCCTCGTGTAGGATGGCCGGACAGGTTTCACGCGGATTCCAAGCGACGGGGATCCCTCCACGTACAAAATGTGATGAGTTCACGTGGGAATTCCGCCGCGGTTTTCATGCTCATGTAGAATGGGCCTATGTAGATATAGTAGAACTTCGATTAAACATGGGCGGATGGATTTTATATAAACCCTGTATAGACAATCATGACAATTAAATAATTGTATTTCTTAATCCTACTATGTTAAAATAACCATGGTATTTTAATAATGTTAAAATGCATTATATTCAACTATTTTTGATTGTTATTGATATGCAGTCAGGCTCAGCTGCCCATTATTGTTTTTATAAATATCTCAGTTCATTTGAAAAAAATTAAGTTGAAGCAGTACAAAGAAATATTGATCAAGAGCTCCAAGTGTAAGGTGCTACGGCGGCGCCGGGGTCGCGGCCTTCCAATCTGAGGCCTCTCCCGTACTACGCTCCTCTACCGTATCGCCTTACAAATAAAATGCTCGGAATCGCTCGAGTCGAGCTGGGAACCTCCAAGGTCCTTCCACTACTCAATTTTGAATAAAACGTCTTTATTGTCTGTTAAAGCTCAGAGTGACACCTCACCACAGGGGGTCAACAGTGTCATCACACTCATCATCGCTTTAATGATCACCTTTAAAACAATTGCCAATGCTGGGTGTTCTCGCGTGTCTCGTGCCAGGCTAATTCGCCGGTCTTAATCAAATTAACCGATGCAGTATGCTAAAATGTCACCCTAACTGCCAGGCTAACACGCCGGTCTTTCTAGAGTAAAAAATGTTTAAATAAACTGAACTAATTACCTACTGGCCAGGCTAACTCGCCGGTCTTTCTAACCTACCACAATTAAAATAAAATCCTACTTGCCAGGCTAACTCGCCGGTCTTTCTAAAGTAAAATCAATAAAATAAACTAAAATAATTCCCTACTGGCCAGGCTAACACGCCGGTCTTTCTAACCTACAACAATTTAATAAAATAAAATAAAATCCTACTTGCCAGGCTAACTCGTCGGTCTTTCTAAAATAATAAAATAAACTAAAATAATTCCCTACTGGCCAGGCTAACACGCCGGTCTTTCTAACCTACAACAATTTAATAAAATAAAATAAAATCCTACTTGCCAGGCTAACTCGCCGGTCTTTCTAACCTACAACAATTTAAAAAATAAAATAAAATCCTACTTGACAGGCTAACTCGCCGGTCTTTCTAAAATAATAAAATAAACTAAAATAATATTCCCTACTGGCCAGGCTAACACGCCGGTCTTTCTAAAGTAAAATAATTAATAAACCAAAATATCTGAAATATAACTGCAAGGGCTTTACTTCACAAATAGTCTAAATTACACTTACAGCACTACTCGACTTGAGAGTAAAGACGGGCCAACACCAGAGATACTAAACTGGGATTTCAGTTGGGCTTCTTCACTATTTGACTTTGATCGTCTCAATTCCTGATTTTCACTATCAACTCTTAATATCAAACGTTAATGCCAGTCTCACTAAATAAAATATCTCAATAGCTGAAATCTGCAAGTCTTCCTTCACAAACAGTCTGACAACACTTACTTGACTGGAGAATTTAAAATACGCCAACACCAGAGAAAATGAACTGGAATTTCAATTGGCTAATTCTACCAGGTCATATTGACTGTTGGTTGGTCTTCAACTGCTTTCCTGAACTGAACCGACTGACTGGAACGGCTAGCGGTTCCGGTTTTATTCGCCTCAGAAGTAGCGAGCTCCAACGGTGATTTCAGGAACTACTTCCGTGTTCAGCGGTCTCCAGCGGCCGGCGTCGTAGGTTAGTGGCTGTTATCGGGATTGACCTTTGTCCCCGAACCCGCTTATTGTCCGCGCTGCTAACACCTTTTGCTTGTTAACGGTTGTAAATATCAACTTAGAGCCGGTCAAAATTTACAACCGTTACACAAGGTGACTTAATGCTTGCCCTTAACAATCGTTTGCTCCTTACACATCTGTCTGCTGTGCACTGTCAGAACAGATTTCATTACCTCGAGACTGATAACAACATAATACGCTAAGTAGCCTGTCATTGTGATAACAGTAACCATGGCAACATTAGTAGCCTAACTTGATGAATGTGAGGATATTCCAATGATAGGCTATCTTGACGTGACATTTGGTATGCAGGTGCCTCAATACATCCTAGAACATGCTGAGAAGACAGGTCGAGGCTGCAGAGTGATATGCAGCATGCCTCGTCGCATTTCCGCAGTAGCCATTAGTGAGCGGGTCGCTGCGGAGAGGGGAGAACCTGTGGGCAGTGTGGTGGGCTACCAGGTCCACACAGACTGCAGGTAACCATAGCCATACTGAGTAGTGAATGGCTGGATAAACTTCCTGTATTACTCTGTGTTAAGTTATTGTCTGAAGGCTTTAATTGATGGATTTTGTTGTATAACAGACTAATGTTTACTATATTGATTTTGTAAAAATATCAACATCTCTTCAACCTACTCTGAAGTAGTCCTACATCAGGACAAAATATGTGTGTTATGTTTTTTTATTGTGTTCTATTAGCCTCTAGACTCCAATTTTCTGGTTTAGGTAAGCTAGCTGAAGTTTATTCTTAAAAAAATATATTTTAATACTAAGATATTTAAAAAGTTTAGCTCTCCTAGCTTACTTATGAAAAGTCCAGGGGCTAGTAGATACACAAATAAAAGATCCCTACCTAAACATTACACTGATATTTAGTCCTGTATCATTTGCTTCAGAGAAACCCTTCTCTCTTTTTATACAATGAATACAAACCCTTTAAGAAGCGCAATGCCTTTGTAAAAAATTCAGTCTGAAAATATTTGAATTTTCAATATTTCCTGCGGCGGCCGCTAGGTAAACTAACACGAGTGCGCAGCCAAGTCAGCTGACTGAGTGAGAGGGAATCTGCTTAGAAAGAGAGAGAGATAGAGTAGCGTGGCCGCCGCACGAGCGATAGTAGTGGCGGCAGTGTGAAGCTTATTTCGGCGGCTAAATTCCAGTCTTTCTATTCTTTATAAGCATTTCGCTTCTTAAAATGTTTGTCATTGATTTATGTGGGTTAATTGGGAATTCCATCTGAACTATAACAGCATATTTCAAGAGACATAATCTTTAAAAGGTATTATTTTTCTTAAAAAGTACTATGATAAAATTAGTTTTCTTCTAAAACTGATAGAAAAAATACTAGATAGGCTTCCTCAGTCACATAGGCTCATTGTAGTTTCATGGTCTTCCAATGACAACCATGTCAATCTTGACAAAACACTTTTATTCTTCAAAACTTTATGTGAGTGTGAGTTAGCTGATAATCCATCGTGTCCTATATACAACACAAAGCTAAATAGGGTTTTCGTTCATTTGTTGAATAGTGAAACATTTCATAGTGAAAATAAACCACTAATTTAACAATTAAATTGGTCAATTAATTATACTTGTTAGAGTGTGTTAAGGCCAGGCTTACTTTTAAATTAAGCTATTATTACTTTCTTTTTTACCAAACCAAAATCCTATTTATTTTTTCCCCTAGGAAAATTCGCTACAGTCCTTATGGTCCTTATTGGGTCCTAGCCAGCCCAATTTAATCTCACCATAAACACTTCACCTCAACTCAAGAGAACCAATGAGAAGCCAGTAGATTACATGACTGCTGCCCCAAGGTGGCTGGTATGTAAGGACACCTGGGCGTTAAAATTATCCTTAATTTCTCTATATTCTTTGATTCTCTGCATTTAAACAGTTTTGGCATGATTTCTTTGTGTTGTTAGGCTGTCCCCCCACACCGCCCTCATGTACACTACGTACACAATGCTACTGAGGACACTACTGATAGGAGATTCTCTGCTGGCCACCGTCACACACGTTATCATAGACGAGATCCATGAGAGGGACAGAGTCAGCGACTACATGCTGATCGTGCTGAGGGACGCGCTGGCCAAGTACCGAGGTCTCAAGCTGATTCTCATGTCTGCAACACTGGACGTCAACATGTTCACCAAGTACTTCACCAACTGCCCTGTCATCTCCGGAAACGCTTGTCCAATCATTACAGGTAGGTTGGGTCTTAGAGTAGTAATAACTAGTTGCTTTAACCCGCTTCTTAACGTAAGGAAGCAAGAGAATCATGTGGTATAGACTAACCTACACAAGTAGTCTTCTCATCCATAGTAAAATCTGACGCTTGTTTTTCATATCTAGTCATGTTGTTGACATGGAGCGTTAGTGTCAATAAAATTTTGTTTATATAATTTTTGGGTATGATTTTTGATTGTTTGGTTCTGTTTGATTGTTTTAGTAAATTGAAACATAATTTATCGGGCTCTGTAAATACATACCGTACTGAGATTCGGGAGGCTTATTCAAAGAGGTGACACTGTACTGTGGTGTCCTGACCGTTAGTATCTCAGTATTGTTTCTCTCAGTCAGCGAAGCTGAGGTGACAGCGCTACCATATTGATCATGATGAGGTCTCTCTAGAATCAGTCTCATTCCCTCTATGTTGGGTCTAGGTTTTAAAATACCCCGGTGTATTTCTTGCATATGAAGGAAGTCACATTCATACATCTTGCACATATCCGATAGTAATATTTCTTTGTCTCTCGATATTCCCTTGGTATTAATCGATATCGTTATGGCCTTGAAAAAGACTGTAAAGTCTTCCAGTTGTAGAAGGATTTGTCACTGAAATGTCAGCGTTGCCCAGAGTACGCCCGATTGTGATGTCGTTCTTAGCGTGTAATGGTCACAATCTTCGGGGAAGCTCCTTCTGTGCACCACAATTTGCATTTTTCTGTGTATTTTTTTTACTAGTAGGATACTAAATTTAACGTATACAATTAGAGTTTTACCAATACATGAAGTTTTCTTATTCCAAACACAGTGGTTTGTAACCAAAGTTTTAATGCATTAGAAAGTAGTTTGTACCACATAGCTCATACAACAAAATTGACGAGTAGCCTGATATTTTTCAACATTACTGGCATACAAGATACAATTTGCTGTGTCAGTAGTAAAATAATAAAAGATACAATTTGACTTATTTCAATGATTTGACCTGTACTGCATTTATTTAACCCTCAATGTGATATGTTATTTATCATAATCTTAATGTTTAGTTCCCGGAAGGCTCTATGAAGTTCAAGAATTTTTCCTTGAAGACATTTTGAAAAAGTAAGTTTAATCACTATGTAAGTTTTCTTAATCGATGTAATTGCTACAGAACCTCACTTTACATTTTATTATTTTAGATATTATGAATTGGTTTGTATCTTACCGTAGACATAAAGAATGAAATATAGACCGTCAGCTGTGCTGCGGTTACCATAGGTTCCGGCGCACACCGCTTGGAGCACCACGGTAGTTACGGCGTACGTACACGCTACGTAAACTACAGCGGTGTGCGCCGGAACCTATGGTAACCATGGCAACCGCAGCACGGCTGACAGTCTATATTTCATTCTTTTTGTCTATGATCTTACATAAATAATATTATAATATTCATTCTGATAGCCCCTGGACTACGTATATATGACTTTTTAGGCTTTGAGGTCAGTCAGTAGTCCAACATTGTTTCTTAAATTCAATTATTTAAAGCTGACATGTTTCGTTGCAATGCAACATCATCGGAGCTTACACCTCGTCAAAAACATCAAAATTTACACACAAAACAGTACATACACACGAGACATTTAAACACAAAAAAACACGATATCCCTATCATGACATGATGGTGGTTGTAGGTAGACTGGACACAGGTTGTGTAACTTCGTCCGTCCTTCTTTCCGTTCCTTCGTTCCAACATAACCTGTGTCCAGTCCACCTACAAACACCGCCATGTCATGATAGCACTATTGTGTTATTTCGTCTTTAAATGTTTTGTGTGTATGTACTGTTTTGTGCGTAAATTTGTATGTTTTCAACGTGTTGCAAGCTCCAATGATGTTACATTGCAATGAAACATGTCAGCTTTGATATCGAGAGATTGTCATGAGTCTATACTAATATTGATACCCATTTCATCTGCAAAGATTGCAAGTTAAAAATGTCATGCTTTTGCCTCGTTTGTGGATGACGATGATAACATTTCCATTGCTACGGGGGACAATGATGATGTCTTCACAGCCGTGGGAGATGATGATGTTTCCGTGACAGCAGGAGATGTTCAATATTTTGCATCAATTGTGGTAGATGATGATGTCCACAAGACTGTAGGATATAATCTGAACTTCTTTTTAAAATGTAAATAACATGGTAAAAAAGTCTATTATATTCCTTACCTCTTAGGTAACATGATGTTATTCCAAGTTGACTTACTCTTAGGTTAACTTTCATTGTTTTACATTCTTTTATTTCATTTCTAACAACATTCTGATCCAGAGCACTGTTTTGCTCTATAGTAGTCGTAATAACAATCTGTACAGGACTGGGTACATGACCAAAGACATGGCTGTGATGAAGAAGTTGTTAGAGAAAGTGAGAGAGAAGAAGACAGATATGGAAGCGTGGACGGCCTCAATGGCAGGTGTGGCTCAACAAGGCGTCTCTCTCACTGCCACACCAATCTTGGGACAAAACAACGTCGAAGTAAGTTTACTGTACAAATATTCATTGACGGCTGGTCCATTAGAACTCTAGGAAGCAGTCCTCCCAATTTTCAAGACTAAAATAAAAATAATGAATAATAATCAACATAAATATGATTTTTATTCCTGAATTTGAATGTACATAAACGTTAGCAAGGTCAATGTTTTTAGGACGGTTGATAATGGACGCAACATATTTTTGCAACAGGTAGTACATGGGAACTCAGTAGATATTAGTCCAAACTCTCATATAAACTGCATGGAAAAATGCTACCAATCACAGCGCTGTGTCAGGCTCCATTGCAATAGATATATGTTGCAATAAAAAATTGGTCCAAAATGAAGGCGTTGGCGAGCTCACAATAACCGCATAATAATAACCGCATTATGATAACTGGTGTTGCCTTATCTACCAGTTATACTTTTTTAATATGTTGTATAAAATATTCTTTGGAGAAGTTTTGTTTCAAATAATAATAATAAATTATTATTGGCGGGTTACGATTAGTTGAGCGGGTTTTGATAGTAGCTCTTAAAATTCAGGAATTTGTCTTGAATTCTCCCGGAAAACTACTTGAATTTTTCAAACCAGGTTTAGTAGACACCATGTATCGGTATTGGTATCAAGAATCGATTTAAATTTTGGTATTGATCGACACATTACTAATAAATTATATTAATGTCCATACACAGCAGGTCGGCCAAGAGAAGACGGAGCTGGATGGGTTTGTGAAGCAGGAGTTGGAGCGATGTCTGGGCGTAGCTTGGGCATCAGGCTCAGAACAAGCTTTCTCTCAGCTGTTGCAGCTCATTGTATCTGAGAACATATCTGTTGACTATCAGGTACTGTAGGTGGAGTAAGATATACCAAATAGTAGATAAAAAGCATTTCGTAGGATGCCAAATGTTGATCCACCGATGCCAACCTTTACCCTATGGTGAAAATAAATGGATGGATAGAATACAGACAGCAATGCAGTCTTTCAACTTTTTACAGTAGAAACTTTATAAGCAACGATAATGCATTCTGTGCTTTATTAACTATAGAATCAATGCAATTCAGTTTAACTAAAAATATGTCTCAATCATTTGTTTGAATTTTACTTTCAGACATCAGCATTATTGTGTGATTCGGTCCTATTAGTTTGCAGACAATGCTATGAAGTTGCCAATAAGATACAAAGTGATTATTAAGCTGTAAATTGAAGTCACAATTTGTTTTGAGATGAATAAATGGCCTACATGGCATTCTCAACATCTAGTTCAATGCCTTACATATCTCTTATCTCATGGTCTCAAGTTAAATCGAGAAAAATGCACTGTTCTTTCATATTGCTCTACCCAACAATGTTCAATCGATCATTGATGGATAGGTGCAGGTAAAACTTGATTACGTGGAGTTAAAGGTGAGCCACACTGCCAAGACTTTGGGTGTAATACTGGACAGAGGCCTTACTTTCTTTGAGCATATCACCCATGTTTACCAGCTGGTTTTGGGTGGATTGCGGGGTCTGTACATATGCCGAACCATCTTACCTGAGACAGATAAGATTCAGCTGATTTAATCAGTTGTCTTGTCAGTGCTCTACTATTGCTTTCCTGCACATGGCAGCAGCATCACAAATGAGGGCATGGAAAGGATTCAAAAGCTTCAAAACACGGCAGTAAGATTTATATGGTTTGCGGAAACGCGATCATATATCTGAGTTTGATAAAACTGCCGGTCTTTTGCCCTCAGCAGCCATATGCAGGGTGCAAACCTGCATTCTAGTTCATAGGGTATGGTCGAAAAGGAACCAGCTTACCTGATGGAAAGACTGGTCTCCTGCGATCGGGTGTCTCAGCGCAATACCCGACAGGACAAGCAGCTTCACTTCCCGAGAGTGACTGGAGAGGGTTCTCTTACTTTGGGCCTAAGCTGTATAAAGGCCTCCCCAGAGACCTTGTTGCTGGGTGTGCCAGCTTTCAGAAGTAGGCTTAAAAAATGTATGAAAAGTTGTGGAAGTACCTTTAATTTTGTAAATATTTAATATGTTCATTTTCTGTTATTAGTTTTATTTATCTATCTATCTATATATTAATAGGCAAGCATGTTTCTTTAAAACCTTTTTTCTCAGCTTGTGTGCATCGTGTGGTAAATCTGCGCATACCGTTAGAAAGCAATTTTCCTGTAGGTGTGCAGAATCCCTTTATAAATTTAAATAGGCTCAAAGATAAGCACAAAAAATGAGATTGAAAATTTGAAAAAATTAACATGGATTTTATGCGTTGCCATGCTGGTGACGAAATAACAACGAAATATAAACAGAAAATCAAAACAAATGGAAGAAACTCCAATCACATGTTTTATTTACAGTGTGGGGTGAAAATAGAGAAGTGAGTACATTACATATTTTTGGTCGAGTTTCGACCACTGGACGACCTCTCGTTATTAGTTAAATGACAAGAGTTATCCTGTAAAGCATTTCCAGTGCTGTGAGGCAGTTCAGTGTGTAACTGAGGAACGCTTGCTAAATGAAGGCATTTGTATTTATTTATTTACAGTATATCTCTTACATATCATTGGGGTACAGTATATAGAAATCACTACTAAAAAACAGGGAAATTTAACCATTTTTTTCTAAGTCCCTAACTACTAGTTAAGCTACTTACCCCTACTAAATAGGAAGTACATTTAAAAAGCCTTCTATAACGAACATCGACTACACTTTTTATTTTTATACGGTGAACACGTAAGCAATTTATGAAAGGAAGAATTACAGTTTTAATGACTGTTCTGATAACTATCACACTTACACAATTATACTCTTCTTGAATAGCTTCATTGTTGTAGTGAGGCAATGTGAATAGCTTCAGTAGTTAGTTAATAGTTAGTAGGGTTTACTATTGATAGTAGACATCCCATACTCATCTTTCAGAATGAAAATTCATGTTTATTGGAGCCACTAACAGCCTGCATTCATGTAATTCCTGATATCTCTTCAATATGCCAACTCTTGAACCAAGCCAAACTTAAAGAACAACTTATTGTAAACTATAACACCAACTATGAAATTATTAAAAAATAATAGATTAAATCAAATTTTGACTTGTACTGTTAATAATTCTTTCACTAAAAATGGCTTCAGCTGGGGGAGCTGGTCCATAGATGCGATGACTACTTCAGTATCTGAAAAGCTATGGTACTAGCTTGTTATCTAGAGACTTAACTTATGTTATGCAGCACTCGGAGACGGGAGTGACGGCTCTGATGGCGGCCGCAGCCCGAGGTTCCCTGGACACAGCCGAGCTGTTGTTGGCGCTCGGTGCACGAGTGACTGTCAGAGCCTTCAGCTGTGACTCGAGTGCACTAGACTTAGCACTCTCCAACAACCATCAGGACATTGTAGACCTGCTCACTTCATACATGTTAGTATTCTGTGTTGAGGATATACAAAATTGCAACTTAGTGTGCATTGTTGAACAGTTGTGGTTAATACAATTTTGCTTCATACAATTTGCCCATCCACATAGGCTTCAGCTATCGGGCCCGTGCATTAAACAAGTCCAGAAAAGCGAGGGGTGAGCCGGTCAGTACAACAGCTGAACTGTCTGATAAAAAGAAGTGGCAGCTACCGGGATCCGAACCCACGAGATCGCTGCCATGGATACAAAGTCCATGGTGCTAACGACTGAGCCACCAACTCACCTTATACTTAGGCGATCCAGAAAGTAAAGAACGTTTCGTTATGACGCCGCTAGGCGCGCGCCGATCTCGTACATTTTGGTATGTGCGTCCTCGGCAACTCAGTCGGCATCCAGCCGTGACAATTGGAGCATTCTAGCCCTGCCCGTTTTTTCACAATTTCAACTTAAGATGAGCGCTGCAATAAAAAATCCCGCCAGTTAAGGGGTGCGGTCAGTGATGCGGTTTTTGTTGGAAAACACTTAAAACCGAAACTTCTCCTCAATTTTCACGGACTTTGTTGTTTAAAATTGTCACGCAACAAAGCGAAAGACCCGTTATTGGGAATCAGCGGTTTTTGCTAACCTTTTCATCAACTTTAGCGACCAGTTCCATCAGTCATAATGCTCGGGCGTCTGCCCTTCGCTTCGCCATGACTCATGAGCGTCAGATCGGCCATTTTTAATCTGAATGCACCATTTTCTCAGAACTTTCAATCATTACGTTTTTTTCCTTAAACATAATACCCTTTGCGATAAATGTCTATCGATTTTAAGTTTAATGCCAACACAAACCGTATCACTGACCGCACCTCTTAACTGGCGGTATTTTTAATCGCAGCGCTCATCTTAAGTTGAAATTGTGAAAAAACGGGCAGCGCTAGAATGCTCCAATTGTCACGGCTGGATGCCGACTGAGTTGCCGAGTACGCACATACCAAAATGTACGAGATCGGCGCGCGCCTAGCGGCGTCATAACGAAACGTTCTTTACTTTCTGGACAACCCACGTATATTAAAATGTACGGTTTTTTTAATTCAAAAATTCTTAATCAACCACTTGCCGGATTTTCATGATTCTTCTATTGATCAAAAGATAATTTTGAGAGAAAGGGAATTACTATGCCATAATCTTATTTAAGTTTGGGTTTCGGATTTTAGAAATTAAATTTAAATTTTTTTAAAGTCTAGCAGTTGACGCTATTATTTTAAGTTTCTTTCAGTCTAATTTGGTTTTCAACAGCTGGTTTCAAACTCACTGAAGTTTTTAAGCTACACATTGTTTACAAAAATATTGTTCATCAGTACAGTATTACAAATTTTTATGATGTTACTAAAGGTAGTTTTTCCTACCATAAAGGATTTGTGATTTCAGGAAATCTGTATTTGAAACTGTACATCCTAAACACTTGTGTATAATCAAGTTTTGTTGTAAATATAATGTGTGTGAATATAGGTTATGCAATAGAAATGTTAACTCATATTAAGGGAATATTTTGATTTTTTAATCAAAATATCACCTTATTGTTTTAGTAAATCACTTATAACTTAATTTAAGTTATAAATGGTTTATGTTTTCATAGTTCTTTTTCTTAATGTTCGAATGTCAGTTTGTCATAATTCCTAAAATTTAATTGGTGTTGTAGTTATTCTAATATCTTAGTTTCGCCAATAGCGCAGCCCTGCATTGTAACAATGATGTGTTGGTAATTCTAGTTATCATCATAAGTTGTGTATCCAATTTTCTGCTAATTATCTAACATAATACAGTACAATTAATTGTTTGTCTTATAATAACAATGTATGTCATTGACTTATTACATAATAATATGCTAATTTTAATTAAATACTAAGTTAGTAAAACAACTTTTTGTTTTAGGATATTCAATGAGCAAGAACCACTTAAATCGGACATTGAAGCAGAGCTACCAGAAGATTCAAAACTACTTGTAGAAACTTACGAGCGATGTTGTGTTGAAGATCATGTAGACGTCGATCTTATTGTGCATATTTTACACAATATACATGAATCTGGGAAGAAAGGTATATTGTTAAATACTAACCTTCATTTGATTGGATTTTAACCTCCTGGTTGGATTCTAGCCTATAATCTGTATATTCTCGTTTTTTGTTTTTTAAATGTTGGTTTTTTAGCGAATTTCCCATATTGGGAATACGCTATTACCATTACCGTAGGTCTCATTGTGAGACCTAGACCCGGGACCAATTTTCTTTTTTGTTTTGAGGTCCCCAGAGGCCAAAAACACCCTCCGTTCAAATTCATATAGCCAATATACATATATACATATTTATATTTATATTAGTAAATATTTTAATAAATAATTTTGACTCGGGTACTAAGTTTATCTTAAGTTTCTCTTCATCCACCCATTCAACAAGTTGCCATGGTTACTAAACACCCAATCACAGGCTACTGAAGTAGTCATGATTACCAAATACCCAATCACAAAATGTTGTACCAAGCAAGGATTCGGACCATCAGAGGTTGGTTACTTAATATTTCTACTGTACACAAATATTAAGTAACATTTAACCTTTAAAATATGTACAAGTGTTAAAGTATTCTAGCCTATCATTTTTTTCTGTTTGCAGGTGCAGTTTTGATTTTTCTGCCGGCATATGAACAAATTTTGACTGTAAGAGAAAAGATACTAGCTGATGAAAAGAAGTTCAACGAACATGGCAAAGTTGTTGTGTTTATATTACACTCCAAAATACAGGTATTTTTTACATTTTTAACTAGATATGGAAGTCATTCTTTGTCTCTTGGGTTTATGTACTAAGTTTTTGGAACCAGTTTTGAACCATTTTGACAAACAAATAATTTTACAGGCCCAGGACCAGAAGAAGATTTTCCAACCGGTTCCAACAGGTCAGAGGAAAGTGGTTTTGTCTACAAGTATGGCAGAAACTAGCCTAACTATTGATGATCTGGTCTTTGTTATTGACTCTGGGAAAGTTAGAGAGGTAATTTTTTTTGTTAAAACTTTAAGCTCCAAGTCTATTTTTATTTATCTGTTAATATTATTTAGGTTATGTCCTTATTCCTTTTATGTCTTTCATAATACATTTATTTACCTGTTATGTCCATATTCAACTTAAATAAAAGAAAAAAAAATCTGTGTCTTTCTTCCTTTATACATAAAAAGTAGCAAAACCTGTGTTGTGTGCAATCCTTATTAATTCAACTCAATAATGTCGTCAACCTCTACCCAAGCCAGACACCGTTTATTTAAGGTAGGCCTCTCCCACCTGCTATTCCTCACATTATTGAGTTTAGTATGGATCGCACATGTGTGGGATTCAAACCCGCGCTACGAAAGACCTCACGCTACACTCGTCAGTGTAGCGCTTTAGTCAACCGAGCTACCATGCCACCTTCGGCCTAACACTGCTAATACCGCTATAACCACACTAGGGCTTGCTGGTGAGATTCAATGAAATAACACCCTGAGCTTACTAGGGCTCTGAAAATTGTACTATGTTGTTTAGAGGTATAAATTTTTAAGGGTATTAAAAGTTCAAGCATTTAATTATTTCAGTGCTATTTTTAATTATCGTAATATTTTAAATGATATATTATATAACCTATGTGTTTTGTAACCAATGTTTAATCCACGAGGCAAGTAATATAAGTTAATTTCAATTTTAGAGCTATTTCCGTGTTGCTATTAATCTTTGTTTATCGTACAGAAACGATACAACGCAGCTGCCAACATGTACATGACCCGATGTGAGTGGGTGTCCATGACCACAGTTAGGCAGAGGAGAGGTCGGGCGGGTCGAACCCAGCCGGGTGTGTGCTTCCACCTGTTCAGTAGCACTCGATACCGTACACTCGCACCCGCACCCACACCCGCCATACTGCGAGAGCCACTGCAGGTCTGTGACAATATTTTTACCACAGGTTGTATATATTTATTGTCCTTTAGACATTGCATTCTTATGATGAATATGTAGCCAGTTTTAGGTCAAAAATTTTAATTAGTTGATCTGAACCACCAACCGAATGTGCTTTTGTAAATTACATATTTCTGTTGAATAGGCCAACTTTTTAACCAACTTATTGTAAACTGTGGAATCTTTTATGTCAAATGTATTGTCACATTAACAAATTACTTATGGAGAAAATAGAATTTTAGACTGTAGTGCATTCTTTCAGTGGCTCTTTCAACATTTAATTTTAAAAATTGGCTACAGCTGTTGTATGTAGATGAGATATCTGATACTCACTACTAGAAACATACTTTGTGAAAAAGAGTTGTATTAACTTCTATAGTATTAAAACGAAACAGTGTTTTTTTATTTCACGATTCTGAATCAACCACTCGACGGATTTTCACGATTTTTGTGTTGAAAGAAAGATAATTTTGAGAACTAGGGAATGTCGAAGCCATAAATTTAGTTTAGGGTCCCAGTTTTTTTGAAATTAAGTTTTAATTTTCAAAAAGTCTAGCAGCCGACGCTAAGATTCTAAACTAGCTTTCGGCATAAAATAATTTGCTTAACATAACAGCTGTAAACATTCAGCTTTTGTGTCACAAATTCAGCATTTGGATAAAAACTGATAAAAATGTAAAGACATACTTAGGGTTGACTTATTTATACTATGTGTAATGCGAATCGTTGATACGTTCAATTCTTCTGTAAGAGGATGACAGATTAATTAAATTATACATAGTAAAATACTAGGATGTTCAAATTATTTTTTAAAGCAATCTTTGTAATCTTCGATTTGTTTTAGAGCAATATAATTTGTTTTAACTAACAGCTGGTTAAATATAAACTATGGAACTATGAGGTTATTTTATTTACTCTTATTGTGTCATTGATTATAGGAAATAAGTGATAATTAGACCACAGTTTAAAATAGTTTATACCAAAATTAATTAATCCACAGTACAAATCGAGGCTCTGTACACGAGTCTTAATAAAAAAGGATAAATGCAAATTATTTTACTGCTCCACTTTTCAAGGAAAAAATAGAAAAATAACAATGTTTACATGTTTTAATTCTTCATGGTAGCTTTTTGTTATCAATTAATGTTTGTCTGCTTTAAATTTGTTTAAATGAGGCCCGGAAATATTGATGTCATAAAAAGAAGATCAAGAATAATCAGGAATCACGATTTTAAATTACCACCACAACCTTAGCCGGGTTTTATACACAGATAAACAGATGGATGACATAGATTGAACACAACGTTAACATTGACCTACGATATGCAATTAGACAAACCATCCTTTTATGAAATCGTGTTAAGTTGTGGTTACGTTTGGGGGTGCCTATATCAGCGCCCCCCAAACGTAAAAATATCACTTTTATTTCAACTATGAATATATTGTAGTTTAAATTAACTAATATGGGAAATTACGATGTACATTTATTCAATGAGGGTGGGTAATTATCAAGGATACAACTGATAACGGTATGGATAATAAACATTGACAATTACGCAAGGCCACACTAAAAAAAAACAAAAAAACTAAAATGTTTTTTTAGTGTGGCCTTGAATTACGTCATTAGCTTTACTAGCGTGTTTACTTTTTACTTTCTCCCCCTATACCATAGTATATGGAGAAAGTATTGTTTTCGTCAAAATTTTCGAGTTTTGAGTGTATATATTCGTTTTGGGTCCCCCTGGACCCAAAAAAGTGGTTTTTGAAGTGATGTCTATGTGTGTGTGTGTGTGGGTGTGTGCCTGTTTGTGTCTGTGTGTCTGGATGTGTACAGAGCTAGGGACTACACCTGTGGTCTGATTTCAATGAAATTTGGTATGTAGGTTCTAATCCGTGGTATCCCCAGGTGTTTTTTTCATTTTTTTGAAATTTTGATTTTTTATGGGGATTTTCCCATAAAAACCCATAAAAAACTGGAAAAATCGGATTTTCTCAAAAATGGCCCGAACGATTTTGATAAAAATTTAGTATGTTGTAGCCCTTTGAATTCTGAACAAAATGGTACAAATCCCATTTCTGTAAAAATTACGGTTCAAAAGTTATGGTAAATTATGTTATTTTCCCATAAAACCCCCATAAAATAACAAAAAATAGGATATTAGACAAAAATCCGGTTTTGATTTAACAGAGTATGTTATGATCCTTACAATTTTGATAGTGTTTGTCATTTTTTAGAAAATTTTATTTTTAATGGGGATTTTCCCATAAAACCCCATAAAAAACTGGAAAAATAGGATTTTCTCAAAAATGGCCCGAACGATTTTGATAAAAATTGAGTATGTTATAGTCCTTTATATTCTAAACAAAATGATACAAATCCCATTTTTGTAAAAAATTACGGTTCAAAAGTTATGGTAAATTATGTTATTTCCCCATAAAAATCCCCATAAAATAACGGAAAATCGGATTTTCCCAAAATTGGCTAGAACGATTTTGATAAACATTTAGTATGTTATAGTCCTTTAAATTCTGAAGAAAATTGTACAAATCCCATTTCTGTATATTTACTCTCACCGCTTACTCATGAGAAAGGTTGTTGACAATCTTATGGGAGAAAGTATGTGTCAGAATGCTGATACCGTTTATTATATTCCTGCTACATGTGACCAGTTCTTTTTTTTCAAATGAATGTTATTTGAACCAAACAGCTGTTTCAAAACAAACTGTTATTGTTTTTACTTTTCTTTGTTTACACTTATTTTTTTAGCAATTAATGCAGTGAAATTGATATAAAGGATGGGTGTGACGATTAGTTTTGATGTTAGGACGCCAAAGTTAAATTATGTGTACTGTGAATTTTATTGGATATTTTATTAGTTTATTAGTTTTATTTTAGGTCGTTTCTATTCAGACCTACTGGAAATTGTGTATAGTAGTATTGTGATGATAATAATTATGGAAGAGGCAGGTATGCTATGGAAGGTGGTATCGTTGACTAGGTCTATACACTTCTCAAATTGTTTTTATTAATAGTCAAAGCTATTACTCTCTCTACTGTAGGCTACTTATAATCAGTGTGCGTCTGTGCGAATCGGCTGGAAATCTCACTACAACGCTTTTCACATCGAAAAAATTGCAGAATTGCTGTTTTATTGTGAAAGTATCGGATTTAAAATGCATATCGTATAGGCCTATGATGGAATAAAATTATATTTGGTCACACAACATTTGTTTACAAGATGATTTTTCACATTAAAACTGCAAGAAACTTTGTCTTTATATATGTAAACTAGCTGACTACTGAATTCCCGTACGTAGGACGGGCTAACACCTCGTTTTAATTTAATAAAATTGTTAGAATAGTTCCAAGTTTTCACCTTTTTAGGTACGAAAGAGGTTTGGAATAACAGTTCTGCTATGATATGTAACTTTTTTATTTAGGTCTAAAGTCAATTCCTTTTGAATTAGGAATCCTAAAAGGTAAAAAAAATATGAGTAACAGAATGTATCTGTTTAAAGGAGTTGTGTCTGAACACCAAGTTGTTGGCTCCTCCCAACAGTCCGATCGCTGACTTCTTAGCAAGAGCCATTGAACCTCCGTCTCCAATGGTCACTAGAAATGCTGTACAACTACTCAAGGTACCTCGAATGCTTAACACAGATGTTGTATTGGTAGAAATCTACACAAATTAAAGACTTATACTTGAGCCGACCCTTCGCACCACCCTCAGACAAGCAACTAGTGGAAGCATGCCCCCCCCATAGTGGTCGCCCCACATCCCTACCTAAATCTGAAAGGCAGTGGGTGAACTGCAAAAACAAAACCAAACTGGAAACAACAGCCTATAATTTCAACAAACAACAAAGAAAAAGTACAGCCATTCAAAGAATGCAAAAATCTTTTTTTTAAATAACATGGGGTTTAATTTACCCTTCTGCCCTCAAAAAACAGTAACTGAAAATTTAACATTTTAAATAATAACCTTTAACAAATAAATAAATAACAAATAATTAAGCATTAACTAGGGATGGACAGGTCACAAAATTTTTTTTATCAAATCAAAGATAAAGAATAAGCGATGTTTTTATGTCATTGTTATCTTCATACTGTTGTTATCATCTATAAGTAGACTACTATTATTTTATACTTTTTTTATGCGTTATCTAATTTTTTTATCGACATTCTTCTGTCCTAAAACATTGTAGCAATAGCCTATGATTAGCAGTAGCTTACTAGAATTTCTATTGTCCTGTTCTTTATTTTGCTGTACAATGTTATTCAATTTGTTTGTTTATACATATTAAATACCTTCTTGATCAGTATCGTACGTGTTATTAAATTACTTTTTTAATACTTTTAATAGTTTAATACTTTTCTTTGAAATGGCGACCATACAAAGTAGGTATTTTAAGCCAAGTATGAATGGAGATGAGTGTATGATGAGTGGCGCGATCTTGTAGTCTTGTTAGTGACTAAGGCCGACATATTCCTTAGACACAGCTGTTAATTAATAGCCCATACAGCTAATGGCGACTAAGGGACCTACAGTTTATAGTGGAATCCGAACCACTTTTTTTCTTTGGTATATACGAATTGGTCTAATTATCAGGATAGTACTGCGGATAGTCGTAGTACTCACCCGTACGGACGTTAATCCACACCAGGGAGTATCGCATCCACAGTGCATACCTATAAATATCCACATTACTGAAAAAACAAACAAATTATACGTCTAATAACACTAGTAATAATATTTACACTTAAAACAGTATACTGTTGAATCACAAGTTTTCACAAGACGGTAAATACATATGAAAGATGGTAAGTGGTGATCGATTTTGATTGGACACTCCAATAATCATCAGACCCAATAGGCGAATGAGCCTATTGTTGTCTTGTGATTCAACAGTATAAGTATTTAACAGTACAATTAATTAAAACTTAAATTAATTAATTAAAATTATTATATATCTCCAAAAGTAAATATATTATTATTATTACTAGTGTTATTAGACGTATAATTTCTTTGTTTTTTCAGTTTATACATATTAGGCCATTTATACAGTATTTATGTCAATAAACTGATAACCAGACCTTTTTGCTGATCTGACCATGCTCCCGGTCCTGTAGGTGACGGATTAGTGAGGTTCTAGGGCTAAGCATTGAAATCAGATATAACTCAGGGTTTGGTACTGGGTACCCTCATAATTTATTTACATAAATTAATGATTTGCCGTCATCTTGAAATAAAAAGTACATTTTTGAATGCAGATAATTCCACCATCATTCATGTCAGTAATAAGCTGGTTGAGCTGGACAATACTGTTCATCAGACAATGTTGGCTGCATTAAGGTGGTTCCACTCAAATGGAACCACAAAACTCAGGATAGTACTGTAAATTGTAAATAGTATTGTTTTTAATGATGACTTGAATTTTTTAATTGTTTGTTTGTACAGACCTCCACACAATAATGAACAAGAATTTATTAACTCATTTGAAAAGTTAATTCATCATCTATTGAAAAATAATATGTTAATTGTACTGTGTGGAGATTGGAATATTGATTTTCTTAATTCTGTTAATCCAAGCATTGAGAAGCTAAGAAATATCTTTTTATCTTTCAATTTACGTGAATTAGTTAATCATGCCACTAGAATCACTGACACCAGTGAAACCCTCCTTGACAATGTTGTTACCAATTTAAACAATGAAATAGTTTCATGTCGTTCATTTATAAACACATTATCAGATCATGATTCTCAGCTAGTATCAATAAGAACCAATTGCAAACCAACAGAATTATTTGTTAAGAAACGATCCTTCTGTAAACGTAATATTTCTAATTTTAAGGAAATTTTGTCTCAGGTAGATTGGAGTAGATTACACCAGGTCAATGAAGTGAACAGTAAATTCAAATTCATTTCATGGTATTGTCCAAACATGTTTTAATAGATCATTTCCTTTAAAGAAAATTAAGAATAAAAGGGGGAGAAACAAAAAACCATTGAGTAAGGAGTTGAAAGATTTCGCCAATAGTAATGTCGATTAGGGTATTCTCGTGCGAAATACTAAGGATCCAGCCTTGAAAGCACTTTTGAAAGAGAGAAAAAAACTGTTCAGGAGGCTTTTGATTCAGGAAAAACGTACAGATATCTCATGTGAATTAGAGAAAGCTGACTGCATGCAAAAGGCCCTTTGGCATATTGTTCGTAGAGAGACCTGTGAGTTGAAACCTTCTTCTTTTCCCATCTTAAAATCCCAGGATTCATTGGTTCAGTCACCTTCTGAAGTAGTAAATATTTTTTCGAAACATTTCTCAGGTTCTTTTGTTGGATCTACATTTGGTGAATCGTCTACTGCAGTCAATCTTGTCCAGCAGACCCCTCCAATGCATTCTTTGTTTTTGTCTCCAGTTACTTCCAGAGAGATAGAACAAGCAAACAAGCAATTCAATCGCTTAAATCAAAAACATCTACAGGCTCTGACGAAATATCCAGCTCTCTTTTAAAGCAAATGTACACATCCATTTTAGACCCTTTAGTTTATCTGTTTAATGCTTCCATGTCATCAGGTATTTTCCCCGATATTTACAAAACAGCAAAGATTGTCCCGGTCTTCAAGAAAGGTGACAAATGCGATGTTAACAACTATAGGCCGGTTGCTCTTCTTTGCACTTTATCAAAGGTAATGGAGAAGGTTATGTATTCCAGGTTAATGAATCATCTAGACATGAATAACATTCTCATTCAAAACCAATATGGCTTCAGAGCGGGTCGCTCAACCACTCAAGCAATTGTTGAGTTTGTTCAGAATGTATTATCCAACCTTGAACAGCGCAAACCAGCCCTGAGTGTATTCTGTGATCTTTCGAAAGCTTTCGATACAGTTAATCACAATATTCTTTGTGAGAAACTGGAAAAATATGGTGTTCGAGGAGTTCCACTAGCTTGGTTCCGATCGTATCTTTCAAATAGAATGCAATTTGTTGAGATTTCAGGATTTCGGTCGCATCTCGCTGAATGGAAGTTCGGGGTTCCTCAGGGTAGTATTCTCGGACAGTTGCTTTTTATTGTGTACATCAATGATCTATCAGCACATCTTCATTCAGCTAAATCAATATTCTATGCGGATGACACAACCTTACTGTTTGGTGGTTCAAATAGATTTAACTATTTAAATAATTTTTCGTTTTGATTTAAATGCTACTACACCATATAATGTATTTGACGATTGAGATGTACATTGTATAATTTGTACCCAATTCATGAATAAAATATGTCTATGTCTATGTCTATGTCTATGGATACTACATGCTATTCTAAATAATGAAGAAAAACTCAAAACGTTAAAACTGGACTTTACTTTAACCAACACAAACTATATTGTTGTACCAACACGTAACGAAACAGTTGGGCATACACATTGGCTCCCACATTGATTATCTATCATCAAAATTCAAATTATCCAGAATAATTGTTCTCTTAAAACACCAAATTTGAATAAATTATATGAAAATCTTATACTTTGTTTACTTTCAATCACATCATACTTCTGCTTGTTAGTAGTGCTTCTATTTAGTTATGACTTTCGATTGACGTTTCAGACAATGGATGCCTTAGATGCTTGGGAAGACTTGACGGACCTAGGCAGGTACCTGCTGGAGATGCCTATTTCCCCTCACTACGGCAAGATGCTCATTTTTTCAGTATTACTCAAGTGTCTCGACCCTGTCTTAACTATAACCTGTATCCTAGCACAAGGGTGAGTAGTAACTGTCTAAGAGTACATAGCTTTTTCAACAAAAATTTTAATTAGTAACATAAATACTTTTTTCCAACCTGTAATTTTCATGCATAATTAAACAGATATTTTAAAATTATTAATATTTGTCATGAATTGTTAAGTCAAAGTTTTGGTACTTGCACACACCTACTATTTGGTCTTAAACTTATTTACTACGAATGTACATTATCCTGATATGATTTAGTTGTACACTGATGGATGAAATTGATGTGGTCAAACAATAATTCATGAATTTACTACAACTGCTCCATACATGTAACCAGCTTTTTGCACAGAATGTTTTGTTTTCAGAGAAATATTCAAAGTCCCAACAAAACCAGGGTCAAAAAGAAGCCTTGCGGCTGAACGTAAGAAGCTAGCAGAGAATACATTCAGTGATCACATGCTCTATCTTCGCCTTTTTCAGGTAGCCTATTGAAAATTCTTTCTTTCTTTCTTTGAATTTGGATTGTTGAATTCATAACCAAAACATGTTTCGAATTGCCAATAGGGTATTGATTTTTAACTAAAATAAAAATATAGCTTGAGCTTTTTGTATAGTATGATTTTTTTACAATATCACTTTTGTCTCTAAAATTTTTTAACCGATCTTTTTAAAACTTGGTAAGTATGTTAAGGTAGAAGAGACCCATGTTTGAGAAAAAATTCATCTTGATTCCACTAAAAATTCCAAAATGGTGGCAATTTTAATTTTTTGAACTTAAATTACTCAAAAATGGCTGGTTTTATGAAAAAATGTCATGAACACTTTTATTCCCTATGAAACGATACTAAGTACGAAAATATCAAATAAGAAATAGCTGAAATATTTAGATTTTTTTGTGCTTAGTATCGTTTGATAGGGAATAAAAAATGCTTAATAAAAGTGTTCGTGACATTTTTTCATAAAACCAGCCAATTTTTGAGTAATTTAAGTTTAAAAAATTAAAATGGCCACCATTTTGGAGATTTTAGATCAATCAAGATGAATTTATTTTCTAATATGGGTCTCGTCTACCTTAACATACATACCAAGTTTCATAATGATCGGTTAACAAAATTTCAATATAAAAATGATAATGTAAAATATACAAAATGGTGAATATCTGGTTACCAAAGAGATTTTGAAAAAATATTATTCTTGATTTTCTCTTTATTTTGACTCAAGGAATCACTACGTATATTATGTCCCCACCTTTTTTGAACACCCTGTACAAAGAGCATTACTACATTTGCTAAGAGGGAGAGTTTCTTATAGATGCAAAGAGCACGGCCCGAAATCATGCGTGTAGAGCTTGCACCCACTAATAAACTACAGCTTACTAGGGATGATATCGCTAGAAGTATTGTGTCAGCCTATCAGGGTCTATGTAATTGGGATATGAGGTCTTCTAATCAGTTATCTTTTGGTTATCTTTAATTGCCAGTAACCCTGCATTGTTTCATTGTTTTTCTTCCAAGATTACCTTTCTTACAAATGGCCATCTCAGACACCACAGTACATTGACCCTTTTCAGCATTTTTTACATTAAAAATTGATTACATTAATAGTTCCGCTTGTCAGTTGTCCAACTTCTAAGCAGTATTGTTTTTTTTTTTTTGGGCCTAACACTCAAACTAAAGAACAGTTTTTTTGGCAAGTAGGATAAAAACTACGGTTAAAGAGTATGGTACCCTAACCAACACATTGTCCAATATAATAAAAAAATATTGAATTATCTTATGGCTTCAAGTAATTTTGATGATCAAAGCTTACACAAATCAAAACACTCTGACATAGACGGTGACTTTGCAGAATTTTTTCAAGCAAAACATAGTCATAATTTAAATTATTGATACCTCTTACCTCTTCAATTATAAATTATTTTTCCTACAGTCACCCGACAAAGTTGGCTTCCTTGTACTGTTTATAGTACAGAAAGCTGCTAATTGCTGCATATTTATAGGGCTGGCAACAATCAAGGTGGAACAACAGTGAAAAGATTTTCTGTGAGCGGCTGTGTGTGGACAGCGGCAGGTTGGAGCTGGTAACAGCGTACCGCGCGGAGGTGCTGTCATGTCTACGTGCGCTCGGACTGGTCAAGAACAGAGGCAATGGAGACATACGAGACGTCAACAGCAACTCAGAGAACTGGGCGGTGGTGAAGGCAGCATTGACTGGAGGACTTTACCCCAACCTTGCCAGAGTGGACAGAGATCACAATGTGCTACGGACACAGTAAGTGGGAGAAGACAGTTGATTACACTTGGCATGCAACCTGTTACTGCAGTCATTAGGTTTAATGTAATCCTATTTCAAATATTACTTGATCTGCTTTTGCTATTAGTTTTATTTTTTCAAAAAGAATTTGAATAACAAATCAAACATTTATTTAGTTCATTATACAGTTTGTTGTGCAAGTGAAAACCAGCCCGCGCATGTTTACAGAGTTATGTTTGCTAGCAAAAATTTTATCAGCAATGTCTTTAGGATAGCTGGTACTAGTCCACATCTACTAAACTGAGCCTGACAGCTGTTTTGCCTTCTGCCCACTCCATCTAGCCTCCTTCCCTAATGCACATATTTTTGTTTGGATTCTCACTCTCATAATTAACTTTACTGTTCTTGGTCAAAATCAAATAGAAACTGTGCTATGCATATATGCCCTCTGATAATATGCAAGTGATCAACTCACCTAATGTTTTCTAAAGTGGATGATTTTTTCTCTTAATTTTGTAGAAAAATTACAAAGACTTAATTTCTATGTAGTTAAAGGCTACTGAAACGTCAAAAAATCTATTGAACTATATGAACTAGTTGTAAGATTGATATAAAAGATCAAGTATAACTGAAGGATTCACAAGTTAAATGTCAACTCCTTAGCAAAGAAAAAGTAACAAAAAGGTACAGATAAGTTGATAAAAAGAAGCAAAACAGTAAAAAAAAGTAATATTGACATGTTGCCACTGTAAAAATCATATCTTTGATTTGTTTATACTGTATATACCTATTTATTAATGGCCATTAACAACTTTAAATAACCAAACAAAATGTACTACATACATGTAATGTGTCTACTACAAAACAGTGAGTAGTGACTGTTGTGTGTACAGGAAGGAACACAAGGTAGTGGTGGAACCGTGGTCTACTCTGAGAGAGCCGTGTAAGAGTGCTCGTACCAGTGTGGCAGACACACACACAGCCATTGTGTGTGGACTCCCTACGGACTGGCTGATCTACGAGGACCTCTGCAAGGTAGGACAAAACTATACGAAAAGACACATTACCACATAAAATGTGCCGATTACCCATGTTAGGATCGTAGGATCCGAGCACCTATATAGGACAAAATGGGAGACCATTCAAAATCGGACACAAAGAGCATCGACCAGCCCCCAAACTAAAATTACAGAAATCCAAATCGCTCAACACATTATTGACAATAAACATGAAGCTACTAGGAGGTCACGAATTGTGGATATTTATAGGCATACACTGTGGATGCGATGCTCCCTGGTGTGGATTAACGTCCGCACTAGAGAGTACTCGACTGTCCGCAGTACTATCCTGATAATTAGACCAATTTGTCAAATACCAAGGAAAAACTGTAGTTCGGATTCCACTCTAAACTGTAGGTCCCTTAGTTGCCATTAGCTGTATGGGCTGTTAATTAACAGCTGTGTCTAAGGAACATGTCGGCCTTAGTTACTAACAAGACTACAAGATCGCGCCACTCATCCTTCACTCATATTTGGGTTAAAATATGCACATAATGGTGTCCCCTTCTTAAATAATTGATTATTGTGGTGAGTATTCAACACACCCACTCAGATTGCAGCATAAAGATTTGTCTAGCGATAAATTCATTAACTAACAATTAATCGTGTCGAATACTTGATAATGACAGAAAAATTATGGAGTCGATATCTAATGAGTAGAGTACTTAACCCATGACATCACTACTCATTAATTTATTTTTTCATAGTCATACAACATAATTCTGGGTTCCATTATACACAAAATATTTATTTTTCCTCTATATATTGTGTTTCCTCCCCAGGTGGGTCGACTCAGTATGGTCCAGACAGCCACAGTAGTTACTCCGGTCACTGTAGCTATCTTTGCTGGGCCAACAAGGCTTCCACCAGACGCAGTGGAGGATTCGGAACGTAAGTCACTGGTTTATCTAAAAAAAACTTCATATCCAACATAATTAGTAAATACAGATTTACAGTGTGGACAGTAGACTTACCTGAATAGGAATGAGTCCAATGCTTTGGCATTACATAACTTTGGCCCCAGATACAGGGGCCAAATACTTTTACCCGTTTATCCCGACCCAATGTAAAAAGTCTGGCTTGCAGACTCCTAAAAAGAAATTATAAAAAGGAGTAATAACAGCTGGGTCTAGTTAGTCCCTCTAATGTAACTTAAATTTTTCTTATGATCTAATTGGTGACATTCAGATTATTAGAAGGACCTCTCAGTCACTCACTTATCATGCAATCCTAGTTTACTGTGAGTCACAGCAGTCAGTAACTGTTATATTTGATTCTGTTGTAGACCCATCACTAGCCAGCACTATCTGTGACAGTGACAGTGAGAACGAGACAGAGGTGGTGCCTGAGGGCTGCAGTGCCATGATGAAGCTGGACGACTGGCTCGTGTTTACTGTGAGTCACAGCTGTCAGTAACTGTTATATTTGATTCTGTTGTAGACCCATCACTAGCCAGCACTATCTGTGACAGTGACAGTGAGAATGAGACAGAGGTGGTGCCTGAGGGCTGCAGTGCCATGATGAAGCTGGACGACTGGCTCGTGTTCCGCTCAGACAACGAGGCTGCGGCTCTGACATACCAACTGAAACAGCGGTGGAACCTTCTGCTGCTCAAGCGACTCAAGTACCCCAACAAGCCTTGGACACAGGTAACTAGGACACATGAAACAAGCTTTTTTGGCTGTAAGATGTTTTTAAAAGGTTTTTGATATTTTTAAGAATATGTTTTTTTTTCAAATTCTAAAATACTAAATATATATATATCTGTTATTTGGCTCCAATTAAAAAGTCTTAAGGTAAAAAGCTTTGATGAGATTTTTTTACTAGCAAAAAACAATCTGAAAAATAAGGTATGCACATACAACAATCAAACTTAATAACGCTTTATTATTTTAGCAATAACTAATTTTGTTAACATTATTTGAATAAAGTAAATTATAAAATACTAGGTGAAACCTGTCGAAATCAACGGTTACTTTCAAGCTTACGCTAATTCATCTAACTGCAATAAATAGAGTGAAATTTTACAAATTTTGAACATTTAGCATTGTTTAACTCCTTCCACTCGGATTAGTTGACCCCTTGTTGTCCTATACGCAATACGCATGTTGTTTGATTTCATACAAAAACATGTTTTGGATTTTGTGTACACATAGTGACTAAAATAAATAATTTTTTGTACTTGAGGGCTTGATTCTTATTCAGCACAACATTGTACACAAGTAAAACATAAATTAAAAATAAATATAACCATAAAATATTTTTTTATGGTCATAATTTCAATTTGAAAAAAAAACTAAATAAACTATACAAAATATTTTGTTTGGGGGCTTAAAAAAGTGACAGTGGTTTATCAACATTAGTTATCTAGTTGCCAATTCAAATCAGCCATTACAAGAAGGGTTACGTATATTTTTACAGAAAAAATGCATTTTTTAAAATCATAGATTTTTTATGTTGGTCGTCATGGTTACTATTGTAACTTCTTTATTATTTACTCCACAGCTGACTAAATAAAAACTCTAACAGCAAGCCTTCTTCGAACAGTTATTACAGATTTGCTTTCATGAAACCAAATACTTTGCTTTTTATTGCACACTAGTAATTTTGTTACTCAAGTCAGTTTAAGGTTTGATTCGTCAAATGTGCAAAAGGTTTGTGTGTCAAATGGCACAAAACAAGTCATCGAGAAAAAAACATGGCTTACACCATAGATAAAATAAAAGAAGATACCCTTAGTATGTTTTATCTATGCTTACACTCACAGTTTAGGTGATTTTTTTAAAAATTTGTATAACCACTTTTTATAATTACTGACCTTTTTATAATTATATTTTTGTAGTTACCGTATAAAACTGTTTTAAATTTGCTATACAATGAAACAATTCCCATGCTTCTAAGTTTCTTGGTTATTTGTCTATATAATATTAAAATGTGTCTAATAATTTATGACCACCCTATATAATATCTACTTACAGACAGATGATGCTGTGGTCAACACTATAGTCAGCATCCTGAGTGCTGAAGAGCAGACAGCTGGGCTGGAGCAACCCCAAGGTGTGGGTCAGCGACCTCGGCCACTAATGGTGGACTGTCACCCTCACAACTCTATGTGTAAGTAAAAAACTACTTCCACCACTTTAAACATACTCCATCTTCCAACTTACAGTAAAAGCCAGCTATTCTGACATCCAATGGGCCAGCATTTTCAATAATTCGGCATCAGTAAAAAATTTAAGCATTCAGGTATGACAAATTTTGTTTATCATGTTTTAAAATTTTTTATCACATTCTGCAATATAAAGGCAAACAGTGACATTGATAGGCAAATGTTGGAAGCAATTGGCAACCGTTGGGAGCGATAGGCAAAGAGCAAGGTCAATCGGCAAATTTTGGAAGCAATAGGCAATAATGTCAGAAGCAAGTGGCAAACATTGTCGACCTTAATACTAAAATTTAACCTTGTACGTGAATTAAAGCACAAGAATCCAGGTTTACTGGCTCAAATTAAAGTTTTAATGATTACATTATTATGTCTTCATTTTAACATTCAGTCGTATTTCTTCAGTCAGGCGACACCCTTTTGTCTACATGATGGAAGACTACGAGAACAACAGAGATGTAAGGGACAATGGTGAGGACAACAACACCTTCCTTTCTAACATAGAGAACCAAGGAGCTCGGTTCATAAACCAACAACACCGCTTCTCAGACTCAGGTCCGGGCAGAAACAACCAGGATATGGGTAAGTGTCCCACAGAAACTTACAGACTGTTGGTCATTTATGTATTAACACGTTCACTGCACTACGAGATCCCGAGGTCTCGTATCGTACCTAGCCCGTAGTGCGGGACCTATAATTTGGCTTCTTTCCAAAAGTTACGACATCGATATTTCGGCGTACAGTTATCGTAAAGAAATGAAACTTGTACATATATAATGCATTTTTCTTGATGTATCAACTAGTAAACATGAAATGAACGAGATAAATAGATCTCGTAACGCACTGAAGTAATAAACTTTTACTTTATTACGATACGAGACCCCATAAACATTATTTTTGTTTCAGATAGTAACACCAAATACTTCATGATCAAGGCTGGCCACATGAAGTCTATTGAAGCATCCGTCAACAGAGGTTTGTGGGCTTTCACACATTACACAGAGAAGAAAATCGTTGATGCTCTGAAGGTTTGTATCAAGTAGATGTGACTTCTTAACCCTTGCCGGACTTTAGGCGGATATATCCGCTAGCATTTTGTGCATAGAGGACGGTAGGCGGATACATCTGCCTATCTATTTTGCCTCCGTGGATTATTAAGACATCTATTTTCTTTTTTTGTGCTATATAAAGGGGTTACCTAGGTTCATTTCAGGAACAGAGAGCAAAGATTGCCTATATGCAGACGAAACAAGCCTTTTAGTGACAGGTAAAACTCTCAAAGCTATATAATAATGTAATTTTCTTGAAATTAATCATGATAAAACAGAATTTTTTTGGAATATCCATAGACTCTAAACTCACTTGGGAAATACATATCAATAATATAATTTCAAAATTGTCAAGAGTATGTTGTTTGATAAGAAAACTTAAAAATTGTGTTTCTAAACCAACACTTTTAATTGTTTACCACAGTTTATTTCACTCACACTTTCTGTATGGCAATACAGTAGAACCTCGGTTAACCGAGCCTCGCTTAACCGAGACTCCGGGTTAACCGAGGCCGTCCTCGAACGATTTTTTTTATTTAAAAAGCAAAAGAAACACGCACAAACTACGTACAGTAATGAGCGTTTGGGTGCTCCTTTTATCGCAATACGCACGCTAGCCTGCAATGCGTTAAAACTACTGTACAGTAAAATGTTGGCAACTGTTGTGTTTCCTCGGCCAAATATTTGCGTAGCTTAGCGCTTATCTTTGCCGAATGCATACGGCACTGTCACCCGACACCGCTCGCCAGAGCAGCTGCAGGTGTTGTAACCCGACACCGCTCGCCGCCGGACCAATGCGAACTGTTTCAATGCCGAGACGCGACTGAGCCACTCGCTCTCCCCACCACCCCGATTCGACAAAAGTTTTTTTTACAGCGATGAATCTGATGGGGCGACTGAGAAAATATCACATACAGAAGGTCTAAGAATGATCGAGGGAGCACTGGCATCACTGAGCTATAATTCTAACTGGAGGTAGCACTGAATGTCAAAGATGCGTGTCGCCAGCCGCCATGTTTGCATGAGGTGTGAGTTAAAATGAAGCCATGTTATTGGATGAAAAAACTCACTGCTATGGAAACCTAGTTATAGAAGCCATGTTATTGGATGAAAAAACCTGCTGCTATACCAACCTAACAAAATCAGCGACACGCTTTTGACAGACTTCTGCAATGACAGTGCTACCTCCAGTTATAATTTTAGCTCAGTGACTGGCATACATTGAACAACAAGAAACCGCAACAACAAACGATTTAGTTTGGCTGCGACGCTGGCGCAACAGGGCGGCTAGCCTAAGATCCTCTAATCTAAGTCAAAAAACAATAACTGATTTCATTGGGAAAAAAGATTAGCTTACTTTGTTTATTTTTGTACAATGTACAGTAAATTAATTTTAATTTCTTTGATTTAATTTTGCAAACAGGAATACTGTACTGTAACTAAACTTCTGTACATTGTGTAGCCTATATCATACGTATTCAGTTGTGCAATAAATTGAGTGTTATATTAAAACTAGGGATGGACGGGATTGAATTTTTAGTTCGGGACGGGACGGGACGGGATTTTTATTTCCTTCCCGATTTTCGGGACGGGACGGGACGGGATTTTTTTCTGTGCATAAAAAGAATGTCTTTGAGTATTGCAGTTACCAAAAAAGACATACAACATCAATTTTTACCGTTTGTGGCACTGATTTATAAAAAAACCAAAAAATGGGTAACAATTTACAGGTATCTATAGAAACTTGTGACTCGTGGTCGAAATGACTGGCGGTCACGGTGCGATCGTCAAAATGACCGCGGTCACAGGGTGATCGTCGGAATGACTCGTGGTAACGGGGTGATCGTCGGTATGACTCGCGGTCACGCCATGATCGTCGGTATGACTCACGGTCACGGCGCGATCGTCGGTATGACTCCGCGGTCACGGCGTGATTGTCGGTATGACTCCGCGGTCACGGCGTCATCGTCCGTATGACTCCGCGGTCACGGCGTCATCGTCGGTATGACTCACGGTCACGGCGCGATCGTCGGTATGACTCCGCGGTCACGGCGTGATTGTCGGTATGACTCTGTGGTCACGGCGTCATCGTCGGTATGACTCCACGGTCACGGGGTGATCGTCGGTATGACTCGCGGTCACGGCATGATCGTCGGTATGACTCGCAATCACAGCACGATCGTCGGCATGACTCCGCGGTCACGGCGCGATCGTCGGCATGACTCCGCGGTCACGGCGCGATCGTCGGCATGACTCCGCGGTCACGGCGTGATCGTCGGCATGACTCCGCGGTCACGGCGCGATCGTCGGCATGACTCCGCGGTCACGGCGCGATCGTCGGTATAACTCCGCTGTCACGGGGTGATCGTCGGTATGACTCGCGGTCACAGCACGATTGTCGGCATGACTCCGCGGTCACGGCGCGATCGTCGGTATGACTCCGCGGTCACGGGGTGATCGTCGGTATGACTCGCGATCACGGCACGATCGTCGGTATGACTCGCGATCACGGCACGATCGTCGGTATGTCTCCGCGGTCTCGTTGCGATCGTCGGTATGACTCCGCGGTCACGGGGTGATCGTCGGTATGACTCGCGATCACGGCACGATCGTCGGTATGACTCGCGATCACGGCACGATCGTCGGTATGACTCCGCGGTCACGGCGCTATCGTCGGTATAACTCCGTGGTCACGGGGTGATCGTCGGTATGACTCGCAGTCACAGCACGATTGTCGGCATGACTCCGCGGTCACGGCGCGATCGTCGGTATGACTCCGCGGTCATGGGGTGATCGTCGGTATGACTCGCCATCACGGCATGATCGTCGTTATGACTCCGCGGCCACGGCGCAATTGTCGAAATGACTTCGTCTCCTGCGTTCGCGGACCTATCGCTCGCAATAGCGGCGTCATCGGCACTCGCGAACGGCAAAATCGCCGACGATCGGACCAAATCCCGTCCCGAAAAATTCCCGAATCAAAGGTAATCCCGTCCCGATAATCGGGAATATTTTTTTCCCGAAAAATTCCCGAAATTTCGGGACCCGTCCATCCCTAATTAAAACAGTGTTTAGTATTGTGAGTGTTACCGTTTCCTCTCACGTTTTATTGCGTACTAATAACATTTCTTGTACTAATAAACTAAACAACAGTTCAGTTAATAACTTTTGTTCATGTTTTAGTATATCTTGAGCTATTTTTAGCCCCGGTAACGATTTTTAGGTTACGTTCCGTGTTATCCGAGGTTCGCCGTATCCGAGGTACCCTCGGTCCCAATTACCTCGGTTAACCGAGGTTCTACTGTATACTGTGGGGTAATAGTTCAGGAGTTCACCGGGTCTTTACATGGCAAAAGAAGGCTCTCAGAATTATGTTTGAAATTCCAGATAGGGTTAGTTGCAAAACATCTTTTGCTGAAAATAGAATCATGACACTCTAATATTTTCATTTTTAACAATTTGGTTTCCGTTTAAGAGAATATAAATATATTTGTTCCTTGCAACTCAATCCACGGGTATATCACCAGACAATCAAAAGACTTATATATTCCTCAAGCCAGGCTAACAAGAGTGATCAAAAGTTATATATATTTGCAAATAAAACTATTTAATAAACTTTCAATATATTATAGAAATCAGGAAAACATTCAATTGTATACGTCAAAATTATCAGATTGGCTTAAAAGTTGTGCTTTGTATTCAGTCAAGGAGTTTTTGCAAAATGTAGATTTTTTAACTCTTAAATGTGAGGCCAAGCAGCTGCATAGGTCAACTATTTACAACATTCTATAAATAACAGATTTAAACAAGATATTTTTAGTTTTAGTTTTTTTTTAATATTTATTTTGCTGTCCATACATATTTATAGGCCTTCCGGGAAGGGTTAAAAGTAGGTAGTATTCATTGTTATTGAATAAACTGGCAATCCCAGGGAATAGTGTGTTATTTAAAATTGCTCCTATTATTTCTTTAATAATAATAATGTAATTCTAATTCTCAATTCTTTTTTATGTAGGAAAGTTTACGAATACTATTTTAGAGGCTTTTTAACCTCCAAAATAGTAGCAGAACATAGTTTGAGCCCTTGATTTTTTTTTACATGTTGGACATTATTATCTTAATTTTATAAATTTATTGGTATCATACAGTATACAGTATTTCCATATTAGGGTAACAAACATAGGTAACTGGAGACATAATTGTATACAATTAGATTAGGTTGGATTTGAGTTTTGATTTTTCAATGCAATTATTATCATAATTGATCGTAAAACGACCTACCTAATTTAATCACATTCTTGCTCAATACATTATTAAACCTCAATTTTAATCACTGTCCAATTGTGTGAAACTCAAACTTGCTTAGGCAGGACAAATTTTTGTATATTTGTGTTTTGTTTCCACATAAGTAAGTAAACAAAATTTTAGAAGACACCCTTACTGGCTAGAATTGCTGAAAAGTTCTAGTAAAATAACCAACACACAAAGTACAAACAGTTGAATCCAACAAAGTCATATCATTTTTGACAGGCTGGGAAGACAGTGATTCTAGTGTTCTCGCTGCAACACACGCAACACTTCCAAGGTTACGCCAAGCTGAGAGGAGACAAGTACGAGGCTGCAGATAGTTTCCCTGAGCAAGGCGCTGGGCTGAACGTGGTGCTGCCGGTGGAGTGGATCAAACAAGGCAATATATCCCACAACAACGCTCGCCACATCTGCTCTTACAACGACAACAAACTGCAAAACATTCGGGACGGCCAGGTATGTTGTGTGTCAATTTTTGAGATATTTTTTCTGACTTATTGTAGAAGGGAACTCACTTCTCATTGCCTCAAGAAGTTTGTGTTCTTCTCCTTGGGAGATGAATTTTAACTTATATGTCAATTGACTTGTATTATATACATTTGGAGGATGCTTAACATAATCCAGATTTGATTACTAGTTACGTACTTCACAACAGCGAGGGGGAGCAGAATAAGAAAAAGTAATCTTGTTTGCTTTGATTATGAAAAATATAGTTTTAAAGGTTTTATACTAAGCTTGTTTAGCCTCTGAGTCAGTTAATGATTTGAGTTTTTGTTGATACTTTTTGATGAAATTTTTTAAATTTATACTGTCAAGTATGAAAAGTAATTTGAGTAAAGGCTCTTAAAATCCATCTCTTTTAATGTAGTACTCACATGCAACATTGCAAATATTTGTGTTGTGGTCAAGATATTTCAGTGTAATATATTTAATTTTTTAGAACTGTTTATGTATGTTTTGGAATTGAAGTGGATGCTTCAGGTTGAACTAAATAAAAACTGGGGTTTCACATGATTATTTAAAATCGATGTTATTAATTCTGTAAGCAATGTTTTTAAATGAAAATTTGTTGGAGTTTGACAGGGAGTTTTAAGGAGAGGAGGGAAAATGCTTTTACGCACACAGGTAGCCAGCCTGTAGTGTGAGACTCGTGAATTTATCAGACAACTCAAAAACCCCCATCTACTCCGTTGGACACAGACCTGGAATTGTTTGTCACATTACTTCAAGTCAGGCCAACATGTGACCTAAGCCCTCAGGGTTCGCACCGTTTCTGGCATTTAGATTCTTTATGACCTACACCACATCCCGGTCAAGGTCGAGCTTCTTGGCACGGAGAATACTCCGGATGTAATGTGACACACAGGTCTAATTGTCCTCACCCTCCGTCATCATCGGTATGACCGTGTCCACCGACAGTAGTCCTACGAAATGTTGAGCCTCCAGGCGGGGCCTTTCCCAATACTGGCTCTGGCAGTGGAAAAAAGGATGATGGGAGAGGGCTCAAATTAAAGGTTAAAAATAGCAGATTATGTCCAAATCTTCCAGAAAATGAGAAATGACAAAAAATATCTTCCATTTCAAATGCATTGGGATTGAAAAACGTCAGTTTTGTTGACATTAAACATGTGATTACAAAATGTATTATAATTTTTATTCTACTTTTAATTATGTTGATTGAGTGCATTAATTATAGTGTGGTAAGAAAATATAAACGTTAAGGTTTTGCTCTGTATTTTTTAGCTTGAACCTTTTGTTGGCCTCAGTGTGTAAATTGGCTTCTGGAAATTATAAATACTATAAACCAAATTCAATTCCAGGAGCTTGACCCCAGTGTTGGGGAAGCTTTGTGCAAACTTTGGGAAACTCCGATGCCTCCCTGGCCGATGCATATGAACCATCAGAACGGCTTCCCCGGCCGACCAATCAGAGGCCGTCCTCACTACAACCCTCACTACTATCGCAAGTGAACATCCTTATGAGCTTTGTCACACAGGGTATGGTAGAGTTACTCAAAAAAGTATTATCAGAAGTACTTATATAGGTTAACTGTATTATTCTTTAGTAGGAATTACTTGCTCATTTTTATATCTGGTTAACCTGTAGGGTGTGTTTGGCTGTTTTAATAGCCTTATGGGTAATGATTTTTTGTACCTAGACTATGAATTTCCATTTACTCAAGGATACCTTTAAGTTTTATTTTGGGTTTTAATAAATCCAACAAAAAGTTTATTGTTAAATATACTAATGTTTTAATGTTTTTTTAGTATTATTAAAGATATTTTATGTTATGAAATCAAAGAAAATGTATTGGTTTTTAAAGAAGTATTAAACTAATCAATTAATCATTGAATTTTTTTGTTGAACAACGATAAGTTTTTACCCAGTGTTTAGAATCTGTTATTTGTTAAACATTTCAATATAATTAGAGGTTTTAAAATTTAATCTATGTGTTTTAAAGTAATTAACCACATTTGATTGTATTCTAAGTGTAGCATTCTTAATATTACTTATCATTGACACTCTAGCGTTTTAAAGTCTAATTTAAGCTGTTAAAGACTGACTATTTATAAATAAGTTAATATATCACCTATCATAATATAATATAAATTGTCTTCTGGAAATTATAAATACTGTAAACCAAATTCAATTCCAGGAGCTTGACCCCAGTGTTAACGTTTTCTTTCATTCATTTTATATTTAATTAATTATCAATAAATTTTTATTGTTAATTTTTATACTTATTAATAATTTTAGTTTTTTTAAGACATTTAGTGATCCTTTGACTTCTGTAAACCGTTTTATACTTTCAAACATTTGAAAGCATTAATCAGTAGCTAATTAATCACTAAATGGTAAAACACTGTCAACAATCTAGTTGTTTGATAATAGTGGACAAATATCAGTGTGTACTTAAGGGGCTTTTAAGATCTCCTTTACAGCGAAATTAATCTTTAACCAATTTTTGTTCAATTTTTCATTACCAACACATGTTGAAAATTTACAATAAAATGTGTATAGATTAGTACAAATATTACTTTGCTGAAGATTAATAAATTGCCGTGTAAAAATAACATGCTTTTGAACAGTTCTGATAAAGCACACCACAAACAGCTTTGATAGAAAATTTGTATTTTTTTTCAATCATCTGAAAATAATCATCCATTACAAATGAGCAGGTAAATGTGGCTACGTTTTAAGTTAAGCCATTGCTTTGGCTCACATGCTTGCATAACCAAATGGCTTCAGAAATACCAGTAATAGTAATATAGCCACACAATAAATATAAAAAAAACTACACTTAATAGATACATCGTTGTCGTTTTAAAATTGTTAACCAATCATGTAAATTAACCAAGTGATGAGCTCAATTTGAATCTCTTATGTTATAATATAGTTGTTTACAATTTTTTACTAACTCTAACTGTTAATGTTTAGTATATTAATGGCATAGGGCCTAGCTCAAAATAATTGTGTATTTTGAAGAATTATTTTATAAATGTACCTACTTTAGTAGTTTTTTATTTAATCAAAATATCATGATGTTCAGTATGTAATTTTGACTGTTAAAGTTATTATAATTTATTGTATTGATTTTAAAGTATTTCCTAAATTTATTTATTTATAATTACCATCAGAGTTTAGTATTTAATTTTTCAACAACTGTCTATTTATACTTTGTGTTACAAGAGCTGAATTTTTATTCCAATTTCAGCTTTAATGTGTTTGAGAACCATTCAAACATTTAGAATTATTGTTATCAAGCTATTTCCTTAATTATACATCCCAAAGAATAAGTGGTTAAATATTAAGTAATTTTACTGTACTGGAATAGGTTATTTTCTGATATGCTATAAATATTATTTCAGGTTGTTGTGTTTGAAGGCTATTCTTTTATTTTGTTTCGTTTAATGTGTTCTATAGTTTATGTCTGGTTTTATCTTCAAAGTATCTATGTACTGTGATAAATAAATTTTTCATTTGAAAAGTTATTTTATTGATTCCTTATTAAAGTGAACCACATCAACCCCTACATTATATCACAGAATAAAGATGCTCCTTACAGATTTATCGTCTTTAAGAGGAGGGTTCTACCGTTAATTCAAGATGGCGGCTAACATGCCTCTACGGTACAAGCTCTCAGCACTCTAAAACTAATTTGTTTCCAAAGAATGTGTGCTTTTTGAGGTCTTAACATATCAGAGCTTGCAATGGATGGGTGTAAGTTATTGTTAAACTATTATTTAGAATCGAAAATCACATATGAAAAAGACTAATTTAAGGATTTTCAAAATCATATTGTAAATACTTAAAGAGACAATTAGAAAGTTTCAGTTCATCCAGGGTATAGTTTGGATCTTTGTGAATATTTTACAGTTTATTACAACTCGATAAACACTTAATGCCACAAGGTTCTTTTTTGTAGGACCATCATTTAAAAAAAAAAAAAAAAACAAATTAAAGTTTGTAAAATATATTATTGGTAATATATACGTGGTAACCAGCCGGCGGGTGGAACCCTCTCAAAGATCAGCTGAAGAACATTTTTAGCTTAGTTTAGTTTGGCTTACGTACATGGCGTTTTGTCCTTTATAAATTGTTTATTGTTCAATTTAAAAAGTATGTGGGGACCGTGCAGCAAATTGTGAATGTTAATAGAAATCAACACTTTTTTCTGATGCAAAATGAATAATGCGATTAGAGGTGTGCAGATATCCAAAAAATCCGGTCAGATTCGGATATCCGTATCCGAACCGAGCCCAAATTTGATATCCGACACTATCCGTGAAATATACGACTTTTTCGGATAGACTATTTATTTTGAATATTTGGACTTGTATCATGACTGTAAGGCTACTGAGACGTTGCCTTGCCACATAAATTGTTTGCAAGAACACACAAGGTATCCTCTGAGACATTGCCTTGCCATATAAATTGTTTGCAAGAACACACAAGGTATCCTCTGAGACATTGCCTTGCCATATAAATATTTTGCAAGAACACACAAGGTATCCTCTGAGACATTGCTTTGCCATATAAAACTGTTTGCAAGATCACAGAAGGTATCCTCTGAGACATTGCCTTGCCATATAAACTGTTTGCAAGAACACACAAGGTATCCTCTGAGACATTGCCTTGCCATATAAATTGTTTGCAAGAACACACAAGGTATCCTCTGAGACATTGCCTTGCCATATAAATTGTTTGCAAGAACACACAAGGTATCCTCTGAGACATTGCCCTGCCATATACATTGTTTGCATCAAGATATAAGGTACAATATACTTTTTTGTTATGTTTTTGAGTGTTCTGTGAATTTGAACTTCAGTTTTTATAACTTAACCAAGATCAAACTATTAATCTTTTACTAAAAACACACTTTATTAGTTTCCTTTTTTGTAGCAGCAAACCTATAGGTACTCGTTAAACCTATTATTAGTCGACAGGTTTGCTGCGGCGGGGGTGTTTGGGACCTATCAGTTGCAGTGCAATGACTGACAAGGAAATATGAAATATTATGTATTATGTACAGTGGTGTAGTCAAACATTTTCCAGTGTGGGAACCCCCACCATTGTCACTGAAAAATATGGGTCAATTAAACAATATGTAGGTTGGCTCTTTGGAAAAAGCAGAGTGTGAATGCCTACAACCATTCTACAACGGTTTATTTAGCTCAATAAATTTGTATGTATTCTACTTCTGCATTGTTACTATTGTGTACACATTTATACGTACTGGTACACATTATACTTTTCCCTAAGATTCATTGCCCTTGTTTTGTTACTATCTAACCAACCTAGATCTGTTGTTTAAAAGCATTGCTTGTACCAATTAAATAATTAATCTTATATATTAAGAACATTTGAGTTTTCTTTTCAGAGTTCGTTTGGCTCTTCTCCCCGACCGATTTTCATGATTGAGGTCTCAAATTGAAGGTATATGCACCCATAGATTTGCCATCAAGCATCGGCATATATTTATCTATAATCCTACTCGGCTTATACGTGAACGAACTTTGCTCCCCATGTATTTCTTACGGGAGTTGAATTTGGTTTCTCTTTTCAGAGTTCGATTGGCTCTTCTCCCCGACCGATTTTCATGATTGAGGTCTAAAATTGAAGGTATGCACGCACAGATTTGCCATCATGCATCGGCATATATTTACCTAATGTATTTCTCGACCAAAAACATAATTTGATTCTTTTTAGATTTCTTATTTCAATTTAAGATGTATTTCTCCAGTTATATAATTATATAATCCTATTATATTTTTGGTCTAAGATCCTTCAGTGAAATAAAAAACCATTAAAATTGTTTTTTATTGTTTTTAAATTGTTTATTGTTTTTTTTTTATGATTAAAAATCAATAGCTCCAGTATTGTTCAGGTTTTTTATATGATTTAGACTCAAAAATCAGTCAATTATAGGCTTTAATATGATATATTGATCGTTTGAATCAGTTAAGCTCAAGATACTGTATTGCTAAATCAAAAATCAGGAATTTGATTATTTCTTGGATATTATATTTATTTTAGCTGCGGAGCAGCATGGGTCCTCTAGTTTATCATTAAAAGGGGCCAATTTTACTACATATATTTATATTTAATACATATTGAAGAAAGCCAGAAGGGGTCTTTATGTTTGAAGGTTTAAATAATAGAGCCATAGTGAGGTTAAACATTCTCCAACATCAATATTTCAAAGAGAATAAGTTGAGTAAGTCTTATAATGTTGTATGATCTTTTCAATACAACATAAATTATTTTAAAACTTCATTCTCTCAAACTCAACTACATTTTTTTAATGGTTTGAGGAGGAACTGTGAAAAAGGATAAAGATAGTGCTGCTATCCATGAGAGACTCACTGTACTACTGCAGGAAACAGCTGACTGTGTTGGTTTCAATATCAAACAGCTGACAGGTTCATTCCTTCTTGTTAAAACAATCTAGCTAGTGTAAGAGTTGTCTGCTCGGTTGGTTGTTGTGTTTACTTACACTGTTTATTTCGTCAGTGTAAATTATAATAGGTTCTTGCCGATTATCTATTTTTAAAATATTCACTAGTAATAGCGGTATTTTTATATTACCGCAACCTTCTTTTATTCATCTGATCTATTTTTAACTCATAAGGTAAGGTTAGAATTGTTATTTTGTTCATGTAGGCCAATATGCATAGGCTTAGTTAATATTATGATTATCTTGAATTGTATGGATTTTATTGAATCTAACAGTTTTTTTGTGGAGGTTAATTGGATTCTTCCAAAACCTTTGTTTTGTCAGTTTGTGTTATCTAAGTCTTAGTAACTTAATTCAGCCTCTAGGGCCTAGACCTAACTTACCATACAGGTTCCTAGGTACCTGATATAAGACTATTTTTTAATAGCGATAGTTTCATAGACAATAGATATAGGCTATTTGATCCAACACCAGCATGAACTTCATTGAAGCAACATTAGGACCTAACTACTTGATCATTAATTTGTTCGATGAGTGCTAATAGAGTTAGCCTGCCCTTAAACAGACATTGTTCGTAGGCTATAACTTAATATGAGTTAAGTTTAGGTTAGTAACAATTAACGAGTAATATGAATTTAAAACGATTGTATAGTGAGAAAATTGATCCTCTTAAGACGTTCCATTTCCAAAGGCTAGGACTAACTGCACAACTCAAAACCCAATGGGCTAAACTTACTCTAACTTATCTGAGCGATTAACTTTATCAGAGTTTTGGTATTAAGTTAGTAGGTATGCAATATTAAAAACGATTACATAGTCTGATCGGAAAATCATTTTGACTTAGGCTAAGTGCCCGGAGGTACTTTCAAGTCATTCTTAGTCCACTCTAAATCAGTCAGTGCTTCAGGGTCTTTATCTTTAAGTTTGACATGTCCTAAGTTAGGTAAAATTAATTTTTGATTGCCATTGGCATCACACCATTATAAGTTTAAGTCAAGTTATCTTAGCTATTGAACACGTAATTAATAAGGCCCAACAGTTAATTTTTGGGGATGTGTAAACCAATCCACAAAATCTGCATTAGGCCTACCTACTGTGCATAAAAAATATTTGTGTCTTGTAAGTTCTTTTAACTAAACATTTTCATCAGATTACGCCAGAAGGCTTACTCTAAAGGTTTTATTGGAATGAAAACAGAAATAAATCCTGAACTTTGCAACTCTGAAGGCGGATGGACTAATATAGTAACGGATAAGAACACAAATAGCTCTGAAAGATAATAACAATTGAACTTAGACTCAAGAAACTTATTGCCCTGTAAATTATGGTACCGGTACATTACTAGTGTTTCGAATAAAAGTTAAATGTTTTTTAAATTTAAAATCAACTTTCTTCGAGCCTATCAGATATTTTTCATAACTTAAATAAGTAGGAAGGGCCTACAATAGAACCCCGATAGTTCCACACTCCCTATAGTTCGACACAGGCCGTGATGACATGACTATCGGCAGCGGCTGATGAGGGGTTCACTAAGGTAAAAAACTAGAAGCTTCTTATTGTTTTTGTGCAGGCAAAACCTAACTTTACCGATCCCATTAATTAGCATTTATTTTTGACATCCAAAGTGAATAGCAGTTGAATAGCTATTACAAACTATTTTGTACAGTAAAAATAAAAATAAAAATGTAGCCTATGTTTGATTATTCTTGTCAAGTTGTAGGCTATAGGCTACCTATTATTCATAAGGTAGTGTATGTCATTGACTATATAGTCAATGGGTATGTCCATATAGTTGTGCGCTTTTGTGTGCGCTAAGCGCATCCCTCTGTGTTGTAGTTGTTTGGAGCAACTTGAATAAAGAAGAAACCTTAGAATTCATTGAATATTTTCGCTCTATCGTTTGTTTGTGGGACATAAGGAGTAATAAATTTAAAAAATAATTAAATTAAATAAAAATATATCGAAGTTAAATTGGAGTAAAAAATTAATTAGCCTAAATCAAATACGATAAGAAAATTACGAGTTTTATAATGTAGTACGCCATTGTATAGTACTCCATTGTCTTGATTTCTTTACGTTTTTGAACTTTTCTTAACACTAAATATGCCTCACTAATTCATCCCAACAGAATATTGTAGTGTCGTCTTCATCCATCCAGGAAAAGGCATGAGTGTAGAGATAGTTGAAAGGCATGCGATCATCCACCCCCAAATAGGGGTTGCTGATAAGGTTTTAATTTTCTTAATACCAATCCCTATTTGGGGGTGGGTCATGAAATTCAAAATCATGTTAAAAAGTGTTTGACATCACCCATAGTCACGTGTAGGCCCACTAAAGGTTATTTTAACATTTAGAGCCATGAAAAAAATAAAAGTGATGGAATGTAAAGTTCCAGTTAAATTAACGTAGCTATAATTTCTTGCCATAACTTTTTGAAAGTTTGTCGTATGAAAGTCGGATTTGCGGCATTAAGTTTCTTTTTTAAAGCTCTTTAAAATGATATGCTACTTGATAGGGGTTGACCATTTAAAATGTTTAAGTTTCTCCCAGCAACCTCTATTTGGGGGGGGGGGTGAATTTCAAAATATCTCCAAAAAGTACTTTACATTACCCTAGAAACATGTATCGAAGTTCGTTTGAATATAATAGCCGTTCAAAAATTTACCAGGAGGGGGACTTTAGTTCGATGGATTAAACGCAGAATTAAACGTATATTTTCACGGTTGTGAATTTAATCAGAACACATCAAATTATATAAACCTAGAGTATACGGGCCGGAATTTTACCCCCGGACTTTTCCCCCTTCATCAGGTCAGTTCAAAATGTATGGCCCGGATTTTTACCCCCGGAATTTAACCCCCGGATTTTTACCCCTGGAATTTTACGCCCCGGGTTTTTACTCCCGGATTTTTACCTCCGGAATTTTACCCCCTGGCTAGTATATAGAAACAAGTGAGAATGATTAATTAATTCTCTTCTTTCAGTTTATTTTAATAGTAAACATTGTATTATTAAGGAGCTTATCTTAATTTATTTGTAACATTAACTAATCAAACAGGCTTTGAATTTTAATTTTAATATTTGAGTTTCGGGATTCGATTTTTGGGGCCAACTGGTGGTTAATATTTATATAATTTCTATATCGGGCCAGGGGGTAAAATTCCGGGGGTAAAAATCCGGCCTGTAGATCTTCAGTTGTCTAAACGCTAGCTATATCGAGAGGGGGTCAAATTCCAGTTTTTATTGCTAATCTAATTAATCACGCTCTGTCTATTTTCATTAGACTTCCAAATTTGCGGGGGTAAAATTCTGCCCGCGAACAAACTTTACTACGTCATAGTGACATAAGCTTTGCCCAGGGTGTAAAGTTCCAGTGGGATAAAATTCCGGTTACCCTTTTAATTTACTCTTAAAATTTACCTAATTATTTTCCCCCAGGATTGATTCAATTACCACAATATAGGAGACCTATGTATGTTGTCAATCAACTGAGTATGTAGGCTAGCCTCCCTGGGCGCCGCGACCAGGGGGGCAACACGGCTTTGGTAGGTAATTAATTTAACAACATTATCGACAAACCGCAAACGAATATTTTACGGGAAACTCGTAAACATGTAATCAATGACAATGACTATTCTAAAAAAAGGCAGTCTATAGCTTTCATTTTATTCATAAAATAAATTCCGTTATTTAATATACAAATCGTACTATTACTACTTTTATGTCTGGCATCTATCTTGTTGGCAATACTGCGAGTCCGAGGCACACACACTGAGTATTCACCCACACACCCCACCTACACTTTCTTGTTTCTAACCAACGATCACATAAGACCAAGAGTTTTGGTGCTGTTTTCATCGGCATCTAGCGCTTCTATCCTAAAGTAAGATGGCAGACCTGGCTTTAGCTACTTGGATGTTAGTTAGATAGGCGTGCTCCATCTATTGGTTTTATGTGATAGTTTTTTATAACCTCAAAGCTCAAACTCTTACGTCAACTCTTAGTCGTTTCGTGATGTCCCGTTGTGAGTCGTAAATTCCATGTTTTTAGTAATTTAGTACAGTGTAGTTGTAATGTTTATAAAAAATACTTGCAAAACATTCGATATCGATATGTCGGATGTTGGGTTTATTGACAAAAACCCCCCAAATACCTTTTTTGGGGAGGGGGCGAAAATTTAGATCTCGCCCCGGGCGTCTATTACTCTCGGGGCGGCCCTGGCTAGCCTATTACAAGATGACTCAACATGAACCAACTATAAACAACCATTAACAAACAATCACATGAAACAACCAAAAACATGAAAGCTTATCAATTCATTTTGAGAGATTATGACCAGCTAACCTCTTCCGATATTAGATTTTATGCCTGTACTTTTCAAACACAACATAACTCATTTGATAACAGATATGTTGAGTTGTTAGGACGATGAACTGTGAAGCCAAGGCAGTGATGTTATGGGTTCACACCCCAGTGTCATCCCTTACAATTTATCACAGTTTATTCTTTCACTATACCATCTTTCTCTTTACTTTGCTCAATAAGTTCCTTGCATACATCAGTGTTGTGGGAATACCGTTCTGACTCTGCTTTTTCAAAACCTATACTTAATACTTAAATACTTTTCAATGAAATGGCGACCATACAAAGTAGGTATTTTAAGCAAAGTATGAATCGAGATGAGTGTAAGATGAGTGGCGCGATCTTGTAGTCTTGTTATTGACTAAGGCCGACATATTCCTTAGACACAGCTGTTAATTATTAGCCCATACAGCTAATGGGACCTACAGTTTTTAGTGGAATCCGAACCACATTTTTGCCTTGGTATTTATGAATTGATCCATATATTTGTTAGGGACTGTCATTTCCGTGACAATGGTAAGCGTTTGGAAACCATGCAAAGCACTGCATGCAAATGCCTATGTAAACAGATGAATTCAAAGTTAAAAGAGGTGCTGAATGTCTTTGAAAACAAATATCAAAAAATGTATTAAAGAATGAATACAATATGTTTCAGGCGATGAATGAGCAAGATTTGCACCTGGCCAAGGCAATGGTCCGCATGGATCTGCAGGAGAGCCCCAAACAACCCCGCAAGACTGTCGTTAGCAAAGTGCAGGAGAAACTGCAAAACTTCAGGTTAGTGAAAAACCTTTTATACCACTTTGTGTCTGTATTCCCTTAGACGCTGTGAATCCAGTAATTCATCTTGCCAGGCTCTCTGCTCTTGTTATTGAAAAATTAGATTTTGCTCAGGAAGTCAACTTTCATGGTAGGGATAAGTTTTTATCATAGGAAACCTGAACCTTGCCTACGCCTGCTGGAGGAGTAAAGTACCTGCATAAGATAGTACACTGTTACACTAACTAGCGTAGCGTTGCTCTAATTGACTCAGGCAATTAGCTGAACACCTCTAATAGATATGTATCAACTGACAAATGGGAGTGGAAAACCGATACATTGAGATTTATATCAGTCTGACCTATTTTTGGAAACCAGTCGCAACAGATAATATGACTCGAGATATGATTACTGCCATTATGAATAATAGTATCGTGTTGTACAGTATCCAATTAGTTAATGCAAAAACAGTTGGTCTAATTGCCTTCGCTGTTTTGTATCAGATTTGTTGTCTCGTTAGGTTTGATTTACACCTTTAAATTTGTGCTAATTTACAAGGATTGTGAAAAGGGTTGAAAAGAACTTATATTTTCATGACTATTTGTGACAAATTTTTATTGAGCCACATATTCTTTAAGGTAGGATTTTGACTGTGCAGAAACAGGAGTTGCACATGACTAGGTATTAGTGGGAGGGGAGTGGGATTGGAAGCTTTCCTCAAGAATTAGCAACTAATTATAATCAGATTACAAATACATACTAATATACAGGGTGAATTTTAAATGAGTTCCCCCCCTACTTTTTTCTACATTTCTTAAGATATCATCTCCGGACCACGTTAGATCATTGTTTAATAGTAAGTACTTCATTTTGACTGGGTATACATTTTTGGCCGCCATCTTGGATCCGCCATATTGGATACAAAGTTTTTTTTTTCAAATGTAAAGGTAGGGATGTGACCCAATATTTCAAACTAGAATTTTACGCTGATTACAATGCCGCAATTAGTTTTAAAAAATCTTGATTCGTTCTAAAGTTATGAGGACTTTTTTATAACTTTATTTTTAGTGCATTTTAACATTGTGCATTTACAAACTAAGACCATAATCTCAAAATAGTGCTAGATAAAGATAAGTATACACCACTATTCATTGTCGACATATTTTCACTTGGTTATGACGGATGTAGATTTTTCAGCCGCCATCTTGGATCCGCCATTTTGAAATGTGATCAATTAATTTAAATATGAAGGTGGTGTTGTGACCCATCATTTTGAGTTACTTTTTTATGCTGAACTCAATGCCGCAATCCGTTTTTCATTTGCATCATTGGATTTTGAAATATTGAAATTTTAAATAAGAGTATTTTAATGTTTCATCAAGAAAGCTTGATAACCAAAAACGGATTGCAGCATTGAGTCCAGTATAAAAAAGTAGTTCAAAATGATGGGTCACAACACCACCTTCATATTTAAATTAATTGATCACATTTCAAAATGGCGACTCCAAGATGGCGGCTGAAAAAACTACATCTGTCATAACCAAGTGAAAATATGTCGACAATGAATGGTGGTGTATACTTATCTTTATCTAGCATTATTTTGAGATTATGGTCTTAGTATGTTAATACACAATGTTAAAATGGGCTAAAAATAAAGTTATAAAAAGTCCTCATAACTTTAGAACGAATCAAGATTTTTAAAAACTAATTGCGGCATTGTAATCAGCGTAAAATTCTGGTTTGAAATAATGGGTCACAACCCTACCTTTACATTTGAAAAAAAAACTTTGTATCCAATATGGCGGATCCAAGATGGTGGCCAAAAATGTATACCTAGTCAAAATGAAGTACTTACTACTCAACAATGATCTGACGTGGTCCGGAGATGATATCTTAAGAAATGTAGAAAAAAGTAGGGGGGGAACTCATTTAAAATTCACCCTGTATAACATTTTATACAAAACTTACTATCACAACAGTCATTGTGATGTATGCTCGGTGAATTGATGCATTGTGAGGAACTTATGTTTCTGTGGAACAACTCAAGTTTGGATGCTTAATCTAGTCGCCAACTATTACGTAACCCCTAAGTGTCCGTGTCTGGACTGTGGTGGCTGCTTGTGGTGGTGGTTGGTTGTGGACTTTGTGGTTGTGGTGAGGAAGGCCACATGTGTGCAATCCTGAACCCGAGGTGTTCCAGATCACCAAGGTCACCTTGGCAACACATCATCTGTTCCACAGACCGGTCAACTGGATCTGTGCATCTTCTACAACTTTTAAGCCGTTTAAGTTTTTTTTTCAGCATTGGTTAGTCTTGAATAAACAGTAAAGAATTATGCTACATGTGTAAACTGTATTAATCCGAGATTACCTGGTTATTGTTGTAAGTGTATAGCCTATTTCCCAATTCAGTTATGTTTTCCTAAGGGTTTGTAGAAGTTTGGACATCGGTCTTGATATTTTTTATCTCTTAGCTATAAGCATGTATATTTTTTTATGTTTTCATACCTCATAGTGTTTCCTCAAAAAGTTTGCATCGAAAGTGATTAATAATGTAACAGGACAATCATTAAATAACTTTTAATCATTTAAATGTGTAAACTGACTAAATGAAAATTAAAATATCTCCCGAAAATTACTTATTGATTACATTTGTAAATCCTATATCAGTGAAATTAAGATTCTGCCAAATTTACCGAATATAAAGGTTTCCAGACCAAGGCAGTCATAAACATAACAAACAGCCTCACCTTATAAGGGAATTGGTTTTTAATTCAATAAGTCTAACCATTTGTCATTTTGTACCTGCAAACCATGTTTAACTAAATCAAATTTCTTGTGTTCAGGAAAGGTAGCACAACAAATTATTCAAACCTATTTATAAGAAAACAAGTCGAAACCCGCCAATTTCGGCAAAATCCGCATTTTCACAGCACATTACATATACAAAGTCAAAATTGAAAATTTTAATCATACATCTTTGCAATACACAAACAAAAAACTACATCCACACACACTCCAGTGATGCAACTATAAAATAAATCGTCCTTTGGCAAGAAGAACCTTGATCTCTTTCGAGACGGACAACAGTGGAAAACAACGCTCAAGGATCTTTTATTCACATCTTCGGCGACTATCGTGACCTTTTTAAATGTTGCCGCGAAAATCGTGTCTTCAGTCAGCTGATTCCAACAATGTACCAGCTGACTGTGACGTCACAAGGCCCAGCTGATCACGAGGGCCCGTCAAGTCAGACGACGGCTGGCGGTCACTGAAAAACTATTAACTTTATTGAGGTCATTGCCATCGCGTTTCGTATCAATTCTGTGGAAAATGTCAATAAAGTTTCGCCATTTTATATTCTCGCGTAATTACATGTACGTTAAATTTGTGTAGGTGCAGATTTTTTGCGGCTATCTTAATTACACTAAGTAGTATTTGAAATGTTTTAATTCATTAATTAATTTAATTAATGTTTTGAAAGTACTTACATGTTTGCAACTGGTGCCAACGAATGGTGTTTCAAATACATTCTTTATTTAATAAATAATGTGATTCTAACAGTATGTGTTTACTCGAATGCATTGTTAATTTAAATTGATTCCGAAAATACACCCTAAAGGGTATCGTAAGATTTTTTCATCTTAATGGAACAACTGAATCCACTTTTAAACTTATGTTTACACTATACAATTTGTTTGGTAAACTTGTTGGGAAACTAACTAGCCTACTGTACTGTCGTAATTTATTTGGATTTGAACATGTTCATGAATGCTACAAAAAATATCAAACTAAGTTGTACAGCGATTGAGTTTAATATTAGTTTACATCCCTAGGAGTGAAAGTAGCTCTTTGATTAAGTACCAAACAGACACTTTTGCTCCGTGTGACGAACAACTATTATTTTCATCATACTGTGCAAATAACCTTAATCGTTACAAAATTAGACCATATAGTTTCAGGTTATACAGGTTCAATGTTTACATTTCTGTTGTTTACAAACATAACTCAAAATATCGTGTGATTAGCAGATGTTAGCAGTGAACAGCGTTATATAATGTGCCATAAACAAATTTTGAGGTTAGTGAACCGAAAAATTTACCATACGTTTTTTCTGTTCCCTATTTGAAGATATCCGAGAACAAAGATTTTGCGGACGATTTAGAGAACTAAAAACGGCTGCTTTCCGGACAGTATGATAAAAAACAATTCTTGTTAAACAATAAGTGTGATTTATTGTTTACAATTTTTTCTTTTTAGCGAATTTCCCATATAGGGAATAAGCTATTACCGTAGTACTCATGGTAAGACCTGGACGCGGGACCGATTTTTTTTTCGTTTTAAGGTCCCTAGAGGCCAAAAACACCATCCGTTCAAATTCATATATATATATATACAGTATATTTATATATTTATATATATATATATATGTGTGTGTGTGTCCGTTAGCACGATAACTCGAGCAAAAATGATCCGATTTTGATGAAATTTGGTACAAACGTGTAAACCTACGTTTATTCCAACGAGTTCGCGATCCAGCATGATCGGACCATGGGAACGGGGATTTACGGGGGGTTTTATGGGGTAAAAATAGGTTTTTCCCATTTTTGACCCCAAAAAAATTAAAATTTAGCAATTTCTTTCCAAACCATTTTGTAGAGCTTAAAAAAACAAATAATTTAGTATATTGAAGCGTTATTATGCGCCTAATGGTTACGGAGAAAATTAAAAAAAATTGTAAATTTAAAATTCCCATGTTATTCTTATGGAGAATTAGAATAAGTAAACTGTTGTAGTTTGCTTGTTTATGAACATATTTTGATCAAATTTGGAAAATGTTTTTATTTCCTACTAACTACTAATATAAAAAAAAAACAGTTTTACCCTCCCTGATGCAGCAAACCTAAGTACTTGCTAAACTAATTCTATTTAAATCGGGAAATGTTATATTTTTAAGTAGACATTTCAGTGTAAATCCAATCAGTCAAATGGAAATTCGCTTAGTCTGCAGGTTTGCT